AAAAAACCCTTTTTTTTTAAAAAAAAAAAAAAAAAAAAAAAAAAAAAAAAAAAAAAAAAATTCTCTTACCCCCAACAAAAACTTTTCCTTCTTTTCCTCTTTGTGCGCTGTCTAGGTCCAATACTGCTGCTGTCAACACACACCCACAGCTGCAGCAGCAGCAGCACAAGCAGCAGCACAAGCAGCAGCAAATGACAGGTGCAGATGGAAAGGAGAAGGGCAAGGACATACTTGCAGCCTCTCCTTCTGTTGCTGCTGCTGTTGCTGCTGCTATTGCTGCTGTTATTGCTGCTAATGTTGCTGCAAATGTTGCTGCATTACCTGCAGGCAATTCCTTCGGGAGTGCCACCATCACCCCCTTCACTCGTGCTGCTGTTGCTGTTACAGCTGCTGCTGCTGCTGCTGCTGCTGCTGTAGTCGCCGTTGGAACTTGTATTGCAACAGTCATGAGTGCATGCATCTCCACAACACCAGCATTTGCTGCTATCGCTGCTGTTTCCGCTGCTGCTGTTGCTGCTGCTGCTGTGTCCATTGCTGCTGCTACTACTGTTGTTGCTGCTGCTGCTGCAGTTTAATGGCCGCAGCATGCGGCAGCAAAAAGGAGAAACAGCAATATTTTCTGCCTTTAAATCTAAATGGAAAATCCCCAAAGAATGTAGACTCGAAACCGCGCGCGCAACCTGCAGCCATAAACCCTAAACCCTAAACCCTAAACCCTAAACCCTAAAATATACGACTAAGCAAGCGGGATTTAGTTAGGGTTTAGGGTTTGGGACCTAGGATTAGGGTCTACGGTTTAGGATTAGAATTAGGGTTTAGGGTTTAGGGTTTAAGGACCTGGTAAAAGATAATGCGAGCCGTTTCTTCAGTGCAGACAAAACACTCGTCTGTCTTCCAACCTGCATAGCCAACCTAAACCCTAAACCCTAAACCCTAAACCCTAGATCTTGCATTCAACCTCAACCCTTAAGGTAAACCCTGCAGCCAAAATGTCTAACTCAAGATACTGAGCACTGCCGCAGACCACAGTAAGGGTTTAGGGTTTACCGTTTAGGGTTTAGGGTTACCTCGTGGAGGGGGTGTAGAGTATACATCCATAAGGCCGTTGTGTTTCCTCCTGTTGAGGGTTTGGCATCCTCGCGAGGGAAAAACAAATTGCATAAAGTCGGGGTGTCTATACACCTGAACAAAGGAGAGTAAGTCCTAAACCCTAAACCCTAAAATACTCTCCTGAGGTGTTCTGCTAAACGCAATAGCATGAGTGTAGAGTCAAGGCTTGTGCGCCTAGGGTTTAGGGTTTACGGCGAAGTATAAACTCAACGGTTTAGGGTTTAGGGTTTAGGGTTTAGGGTTTGGCATTTACTTGAAGGAGAGGGCAAATATTCGGGTGTTTTACTAAACTGTAAAACCCTTCTATTTCCTCCAGCTGTACATACACCCGACAAAGCAAACCCCAAACCCTAGAGCGTAAACCCCACTCGGTAAACCCTAAACCCTAAACCCTAGGGAGGGAGAGAGCCTCACTCTTTCCTTAAGTGTACGGGCACCTCCAGAGGAACGTAAACCCCACAGCTCCGAGTCTAAGGCAGTATAGGTCTGTATACACAGACACACCAAACCCTAAACCCTAAACCCTAAACCCTACTCTATATCCTGCAGGTGCGGCACGAGTTGTTAGACATATTCAGAGTGTAGCCCATAAAGTTAGGGTTTACCATCTAGGGTCTAGCGTATCGAGCCATGTTAGCATAGGCGGAGTATGACTGGCTAAAGTTTTAGGGTTTAGGGTTTAGGGTTTAGGGTTTAGGGTTTAGGGTTTGGAGGGACCTTAACATATACAGTGTAGGGTTTATTAAAAATTCTCCATTCTTCTATTTTTCTTCTTTCTTCTTGAAAAACAACTCGCAACCGATAGCCGCATAAACCCCCTGTATATAAATATAAATAAATATAAATATAAAATATAATTTATAAATATAAATATATTAATAAATATAAATAAATATAAATATATAAATATGTATAAATATATAAATAAACAAATAGAAAATAAATATCAAGGGGGGAAGAAAAAGAGAAGGAGGGTGCAAAGATGAAAAAAACGCGAAAATACACCAAACCCTAAACCCTAAACCCTAAACCCTAAACCCTAACAAACTGATAACAAGGACAAAATGTAAAAACAACAAAACAAAAATGAAACAGCAAGGAGCAAGCACGTGTAAACGCATCGAAGTTTCCCTAATTGCTCGCTCTGCCTCCGCTGCTGCTGTTGCTGCTGCTCCTGCTGTTGTTGCTGCTGCTGCACTCGCCGCTCTTGCTGCTCTTGCTGCTCTTGCTGCTCTTGCTGCTGGTGTATTTGGATTTGTTGCTCATTTACCCGACATTTTATGTAAATTTCTGTTCGCAACCGGAATTGTAGAGACGCAGCAGCAACACCTGCAGCAGCAGCCGCAGCTGCTGCTGCAGAAACAGCTGCAGCAGCTGCAGAAGATTTGATAGGTGGAAGGCAGGGAAGTAGAAAATTAGGGCCTAAATGGTGTTGCAGACGCTGCTGTTGCTGCTGCTCCTGCTGTATATAAGTTGCTGCTGCTCCTGCTGTGGCTGCTCTAGCAGATGCTAATGGTGTTGCTGCGTGTGTTGCTGCTGCTGCTGCTGCTGCTTCTGTTGAAGCTGGCGTTGCTGTTGCTGAGCTTGTTGCTGCCCCTGGTGTAGTTGTTATTGCGGCTGCTGCAACCACAGCCAATTTCCATTGGTGTTCCTGCGGCAACTGCTGCTGCTGCAGTAGCAGCAACTGCTGCAGTAGAGTAGCTGCTAACGCAGCTGCTGCTGCGTTAGGGCTATCCCCCCTCTACCTCTAGGGGGTTAATGGATTATATTTGCTTAAATTAAATAAATTTATTTAATTTAAACAAATTATTTTATTTATTTATACGGAAGGAATTCTTAGCTTAGCAGAAGGTTGCGTTTGCATGCATTGGGGCTGCGTTGGGTGTATAAGGGGGGTCGAGAGCAACCCCTGAAAAGAAGAACAAATACTGTAAATAGCGGGAAATAATTAAAATAATCAATTACATTTATTTGTTTAATTAAAAGATTGAAATTTTAGGTATATTTTGCATGTTTTAACGCAACATATGCGCTGACGAAAGCATATGGTGACTCCCGATCCTTACAGCTGAAGGCTAGTCAACTTTGCCTCTTCTTCTTCCCTTTGTAAATATTTTAAATAATTTATTTTTATCTTTTTTTTAATATAATTTTTGAGTTTCCTTCTTCCTTTATCTGCCCGTTGACACGGGAAGGTTGAGGGGTTAAGAGGCGGCGCAGCAGGACAGGAAACGATGAGGGGCTCCAGCAGCTCCTCCTTTCTTGCTGCTGCTGCTGCTGCTTCTTCTGCCTCTGGTGCTTCTGCCTCTGCTGTTGCTGCTGTGCCACGTTGCTGCATTGCTGCTGGCATCACATGCAGTAACATCGGCAACAGCCTCAGCCCTCTGTCTGCTTCCGATACTACGTACACCCGTCGGTCCGTCCAGACTCCGCACAACCAACCAGCCCGTTCCTTCACAGCAGCAGCAGCAGCTGCTGCTGCTGCTGCAGCAGCAGCAAAAGGTGAAGGAGAAGGATCAGCAGCAGCAGCATCTGCATTTGTTCTTGGTACTAGAAGTCAGGATCTAGTAGATGTACCCGTACGACCAAAGCCAAAGAAATATTTTGACGCAAAAACATTCAGAAATTTCTTAAGAAGATATAAACAGCATACACTAGAAGAAGAAGAAAAAGCAGCAAAACAACAATATGTACGAGAAGCACCAGGTAAAGTATCTGCATGCAACAGCAGCAGCAGCAGCAGCACCAACAGGAGCAGGAGCAGGAGCAGTAGGAGCCGCAGTATATGTCTGAGGCTTTTTTTGTTTTGTGCTGCTGTTACAATGACAGTAACAATCTACTGTTGCTCCTGCTGCTACTGCTGCTGGTGCTCCTGCTGCTGGTGCTGCTGCTGGTGCTGCTGCTGCTGCTTGTTGTTATTGTTGTGTATAGTTTGTATATATTAATGTATTTATTTGCATGCATATTTATGGTGTATGTACACCTCAGAGGGTTGGGGTGTTGAGGATTTCTTAAGAAGAATTGGCATTGAAGAAGAAGCAGAAATTGTTGCAAAACAATTCGATACATGGAATGCCTTCATTAGTGCCTCACCACAGGTAATAAATATAACTTGCTGCTGCTGCTGCTGCTGCTGCTGCTGCTGCTGCTGCTGCTGTTTTTGTTGTTGTTGTTGCTGTTCCTGCTGCTGTTGCTGTTGTTGTGATGGTGGTTAGGGCTATTGTTATCCTTGACTTGTTATTAAGAAATACACACTAAATATGTATTATTATTATTATTATTACTATAATTACACATTAACTAATTTATTTATTTATTTATTTATTTATTTATTTATTTATTAAACAATTTATGTATTTATTTGTCTTTTATAGGACTGGATGGCAATAGAAGGACTTACCAATGCACAACGGCGTCTTATAATTCGTCATATTCGGTAACTTAATTAAATAAATTAAAATAATTAAATAATTAAATAATTAAATAAAAAATAATTAAATATTTAAATATAAATAATAAATAATAAACAATACGCTAGACCCTCAGGGGCCACAGATGCTGAACAAACGACGGAAGATTCGCAAACCAGCAATCCTAGCTAGCTGGAATTTAACAGGGGTGCTAGGGTTTAGGGTTTAGGGTTTAGGGTTTACCAAGGATTTCTTTCTCTGCGCTCAGACTATTTAACCATGGGCTGTGGCCTGAAAACTCATACGATGACTACATGCAGCGATTTCAGGTATAATGGCTAAACCCTAAACCCTAAACCCTAGATAGCGCTTGAGACGAACTGGCTGTTTAGGGTTTAGGGTTTAGGGTTTAGGGTTTGTGATGCAGGCGCCACCTCTTAAGAGAGAAGGAATGCCTTGGACAGAAGAGGAAGATAAACAACTGCTGGAGCTTGCAGAGAAATATGATGTTAACTTCGGAGGTAAACCCTAAACCCTACTAAACCCTAAACCCCGCGACAAAGTAGACACGCTCTTGCCTTGAAGAATAAAGACAGACAAACACTAAACCCTAAACCCTCCAGGGGATTCTAGGAGCTTCGCAAGGCAGCAACTGCGTGTTGGTGCTATAATCGCGTTCCTTGATGTTAGGGTTTAGGGTTTAGGGTTTGGCGTGTCCATATGTCCCTTCAGACCCTTGGCTGTATTTGAGTTGGGAAATGCAGCGAGAGAGCGAAGATGTTCACAGCAGATATCTTGCAAATGTTACTGTGCCGCAGGTAAATTTTCTAGGGTTTAGGGTTTAGGGTTTAGTTAGGGTTTGGTATATCTGCAGCCAAGAGCAGAGGCGTTCATAATTAGTTGTGTGTAGGGTTTAGGGTTTATAGGGTTCAATACATTTATTGTTTCTTTTGTTCTTATTTTTTCTTTGTGCATGCAACAGAATCAAAAACGACGCAGCGAATTCGTACTATCTAAAAGTATGCGACCTCTATTTTTTTCTCGTTATTTTAAAATTCTTCCTCCTTTTCTTCTTATTGTTCCGTCCAGCAAAAACTTCAAGACTGAACCACCAAAACCCTTTCATATGCCCGCCCCTTTCCGTTGCCTCTAATGGTATAGCTCCGGGGGGGTGTGCCTAGGGTTTAGGGTTTGTGATCTAGGGCTCACGTATCGGGTTTCGTCTGCGCGTACACCCGCAAGTAAACATTAACTAATAATCTCAACTCTGTGCTCCTTCGTATTTTCTTTTTTTTGTCTTTCCCATTTCTTATTCCTGTCTCAAAAGCAACTGCGTTCCCCTCCTGAAAGAGAGATTCGTCTCGATATGCATCATGAATGCAGCATGCATGCATTCTTTGCCGCATGCATGGATGCATGCGGCCGTGCATGCATGCAAGCATGCAGCGACCCGTGTGCTGCACATGGATACACCGGGGCACAACATGAATGCATATATGCAAGCGCTGGGGTTCCACCGTGCATGCATTGGGGCCGCATGCAGGCGCATGCATGCAAGTAAAGAAAACACTCAACCCACTACTATTAACTCTCTCTCGCCTCCCGAACGTACACGCGGGGCCACTTGCGTGCGTTTTTGAGGGGGTTTTGGGTTTAGGGCCTAGGGTGTGGTGGGTTTAGCACGGGCATGCCACAGTGCACGTAGACCGCAGCGCACCTAATCCAAATGCTGCGTAGCTCGTTTGCTGCTGCAGCACCTGCAGTAGGAGCAGCAGATACACCAGAATTATTCGCTGCCTTCAGGCTGTACATGGTTACTAGTAATTACCTCCCCTTACCCCCTCCCCCACTCCCCCACACACCGTCTCCCCTTCTCCACGGCATTCAGAGCATCAACATCCACGCATGCATGCATAAATAGATGTTGCGCATGCAAGGAGTCCCACGTGTATCGCCGGCGTGGGTGTAGTTTTGCGCAGCCAAGGCTGCTGCTGGTGCATGCTGGCTACTGCTGCTGCTGCTGTTGCTGCTGCAGCTTCTGCTGCTGCCTACATTTAAGACATGTCACCACCGGACTCAGCAACGGGTGCGTATCCAGTGGATCTTTGTATGTCTTCTTCTACTTCATCTCTTAAATCTTGGAAGACAGTGCTGGCGGCGATGCTGCTGAGGACATTGGAGAAATCTCCATCAGCGAGTAACTTTTCCGCATTCTCTTGAATAAGATCACCGACTTGTGTGCGAAGATATAAATTTCCTTCCAATACACGACGAAGAGAAAGGAAATACACTAGAATAGCAACTAATGCCTCCTCTTCCTCCCCTTCAGTTGGCTGTCCTTGCTTTTGTAGCAAAGTACGTAACAATGCCTCTGGATCCTTTCCCCCTTCCGTCAACAACTCACGAGAACCAGGTGTTGCTAAGAGCTGACCTAGTAAAGAAAGAGCCCTCTGTACAAATTGAACATCCATACCTCCTTCCTCTGGGTTCACATGGCCCGCAACAGCATTCAATACATCCGATCCCGCCAGAGAACTCAAACGGCTTGCTATTGCCTCCAAGTCAGAGGGAGACAATTCCGTAAAACTCGAAAGAGCCCCGTGGCCTGTGGTCAAATCTAAAGCACCACTACCAGCAGCAGCACCTGCAGCAGCAGACTCGGTACGCGGGACAGAAGAAAGAGGTGCATCACCAGCGACGGGGGAACCAGGAGTAGACTCTGCTCGTAAATCTTTCTCCTCTCCAGCTGTACATTGTAAAGAAAAAACACACACACACACATACATACACACACAGTACACCCTATGCAGTCCTATACGCAGCATTGGTATGCTGGAACCACGCACCACCACCTACGCGCACGTACTCGCCAAACCCCCACTGCGTCTCGAACCCAAAAAAATACCCACAAAAACACCAACTTCCCTAAAACCATCAAATAAAACCCAAAAACCGAGCAGCAAACTCATATATACATCTACACGCCCGGGCGACTCCGCTGCCGGTGTTGCAGCATCGCCCGGCCCTTCTTCTACAAGAAGCTTCGCAGCACCAAACGGAAAGTAAAGCATTTTTGCAACCTACCAGAGGATAAACCTGCATGAAGCGACAAACTAGCCACGGAAAAGAAGAAGAATGCCCGCGCCTTTCTCATTTTCCTGTGAACTCGATCTGCTTCCGCTGCGCCGCGCCCCAAACAACAAGCTGACACAAATCAGGCGAGAAGGACGTGATATGCAGTCCCAAACAAGACGAATCTCTGCTTTATTCTTTTCCAAGAATACAGGGAGAAACGCAAAAAAGTCTACGAACGCCAACCGATCGGTCCCAACTCTCCTCCCGAGGCTGCTGCTGCTGCTGCTGCTACCATGCTGCTGCAGCCTTCGCTGCTGCCGGTGTGAGTGGCGGGCGTGCTGCAACAGCAGCAGCTACATTGGCTGATTGCGTTGTCTTTTTTCGTTCTTCGCACCCCTCTACCCCTTTCCTTTGTGCATTTAACTAAACACAACTCAGAAGCAGATCTATTACTCATTGTTTTGCCGCAAGCCGCAGTCGCTCCCCTCGTAGAACGAGGAGCCCCAGCGCTTCCTCCTCCGTGGACCGGTGCAGCCGGGGAAAATTTCGCTCCTCTCGCTTTACGCTGTCTGTACACCTCGTTCTATCCTTCATTTATTTCATTTGTAGCACACTAGTTGCTTCATTCAAATTGCTTCGGAAGGCAACTCAGACTCGTCGCTTCTCTTGAGCCTTCATGTGCTGCAGGGGGCTGCTGCTGCATCGAAACACTGTTGCTAGCAAAATCTTTAAAACTAATGACTGTTCAAGTGTGCAGACCTTTTTTGAGGCACACAAAAGCCTGTGGTGTGTGGGAAGACGAGGCGGCTGGCGAGGGTCCTCGGTCTTAGCACAGCGCTGCCCTCGTGACCGGCAATACATAGGACACTACTATGCGGGCGGGATAAGGGCTGTGAAAAAGCATATGAATTTTCCTCCCGTCTCCGGGACTCCTACCCACGGGAGAGAGTTAAGGGGTAGATGCTAGTGCGGGGAGATGCTGTCTCCCCGTGAGTTGCAGTACGGATTGCTGGGAGTGTTGTTACAAATACACATGCAAGTAAAGCGTTGTCCTGCAGCTTTGCTGAGTGTACAAAAACTGTTGAAACGCACGAACCACAAGCCGTTTGCCCTTAGCATGCTGCTTTCATGGGTTGACCTGCAGTAGTGAACCCGGACTGTTGTCTATCTGCCCGCATCTCTCTAAAGCCGGGCAATCCCACGTATGCTCTAAGCAGGGGTGAGGATTAGTGCACAGAGAGTGGGACATAGTTGCGAAATCGATGCAAAAGAGAGGACCACGAGGAGGCGAGCGGCGTATGCTAACATTGCTGTTGCTGTTGTCGACGTGCCACTCTTCGGTGCTGGCGTAGTCCTCTTTGTCCATTGTGATTGTGCTGAAACCTGCCCATTGTGATTGTGCTGAAGCCTGCCCTCTAATACTATCACTTCAACAAAAACGAAGTTATGTTGTGAGTTGGTGCCAACTAGCACCATCAGTACTCGCAGGAAGCTCGGGTCTGGCCCACGCCAAGAGAAACTGTTGCTGACGGCACAGAAATGCGCTTAGGTCACATGACGCTCATAATAATAATAGCGACCGAGACCACGAGGGAGGAGAGATATGAACTTCTCTGTAAATGTGAAATAGTGACGGTTGCCAAAGGCGTGCATGCGGCCCCCATTGAAGTTGCGCTGCAGGTAGTTGTAGCGTGTAGTGCATGTGAACTGCAATGGAGCTTCTTGGCTAAATTGCCCTTGAAGAGCTGATTCCACTTCTCTAGCTGTAGAGGATACGAATGTTGTTGGGAGCGCTGCCTGACACTTTCTGTTTCCTTTCCTATGTCCTTTCTACCATTCGCCGACAGTAGTCTCTGAGAGTACACCAAATCAGGGGAACGTAGTCTTCACATCGCCGCAGCCTCAGATATTCGACCCAAATAGCAGTCCGTGTCGATTAGCGCTAGCAACAACTGACCACTAATAGCAACTTGGATACGCGCAGAGTTTGCTCCAGGCGGTATTTTATTGCCTTCTTTTTAGGCCATATCACGGGGCTACGTTGTACAGCTACATGCATGGTAGCCAGAGCGTCTACATACTTTCCGCTCTCACGGGATAACTGGGTAACTACTTCCCTGATACTGCAATCCCAGTTATGACATTGTTGGTGTAGAATTAACAAATGGGCCCGTCGGCTAGTTATATGAGGGTCAGTGTCAACACCACGTCTTCCTTCTCGTGTAGGGCGATGGAAATGGCGTTGTTCCTCTCTCGGATAAGCAAGCACTCACCACCCGCACAGACTTTTTTCATTCATTCACCCCTTAGTTCCCTCTAATTGCCAACAGGCTTTCAGCTGCCTCTTTGTAGAGGACAGCGCAGCAAAAAATCACTGGCAAAATGTAGCTCTCTATTGGTAGCTGTCCCTGTCAAAAGATAGTTCTTGCATAGCTTGCCGCATGGGAATGCACCCGCACAACTGCATGTGTAGCGGGTCTCCCTGGTGTCTAGCCGTTAGATTCCATGATGGTTATGCTCTCTTCTTGCCTGCCTGCTTCGGCTGCAACAAAGTTTCAGCGAAAATTCCTAGACCAATAAATCTGAAATGGTGGAGCCCTTGTGTGGCACTACCCACGATATCCGCCAAGAAATCTCGCGAGCTGCAACATAGTCAAAATGCACCATATTAAACCTTTCCCCATGACCTCTGTACTCCTCATCTAATCTTCACGTTCCTTGGGCGCAAAAGCGCACGGGTCTGCTGTTGTTGCTAACAGGAGACGGCCCGCTACGTTGCTGCACGTGTTGCAACGCACGCTACGGGGAAGGGTAGCCAGGGCCCTTTTGGGGGGACCTTGTATCTGGCCGTTTATACTCAGCCTCAATAATACACGATGGCGGTGCGTCTTACAACCAATGCAAAGACAGATAAATTTATTTAAATGCAAAACAGAAGGGACAACAACTTATCTCGTTCTTTTGGTAACACACTAAGGCAGCTGCTTCTCTGGGACTTCACTAGGGTGTCCTCGCATTGGGGGCGCGGCGTAGCCTGGCGCTGTCCGAGCTTGTATGTCCCGCAAAGAATACTGCGTAGTTTTGCAGTTCCTTCTGGAATGAAGCCAAGACTAAATTTTATCTGCAACTATATCAGTAACAACTAAGGATCGGCAGCACCACTCATGGGTGCAGTGCAAGTCAAATGAACGCTTGCGCTTCTCCCTGAACCGAAAAATCACCAAATGAATAAAGGAGTACGTGATGCACATACAGCGAGAGCACACTCAGTTTTCGGGGGGGTCTATCCCTTTTAACTGGCTTTTGCTCCCTAAGTAGGCTTGGACAGCTTCCAAGGAAGTGCCACGAGAAGCCGCTGCCTCTTCGCTCATTCGACGCATTCTTGAGGTGTACGAGCACACAAATGCTCGACGAGCCAAATAGTAATTGAACAGGCGCTGGCGATCCAACACTTTGAGCCGCTGCAACCGCATACACAGGGGAGGCGTCATTTCGGTGTAAAGTAGAAGCACAGTAACCTCAAATTTACTGCAGAAAAAAAGTTTCGCTTGCCACTCAGCACAGCAAAAGCACCTCGTATTGGTGCTTTTGCTGTGCTCAGTGGCAAGCGAAGCTTTTTGCAAAAGCAGCGCTACGGGTTCTGCAGGAGCCGCTAGCACCGAAATATATATTATATATACTGCATACTATAAATATGTATATATAAATATATACGGGTGTACGCCCCTCTACATGTGCGTATACGTGTGTATGTTTATGTACAAACACAGGCGTATAAAATAGAAACAAACCGGGATGCCGGAGTATTTACAGTAGGCAGTTACATTGGCACATCGCATGCAAGAATATGCACAAGAAGCAACCAACCTAGCCAAGGCATAACGCGACGGGCGACCAGCCCCGCAGGCTCGTATCTAGGTTGCAACATTGTCACTTGACGAATGCAAAATAAGCATATAGATCCCACTGTGCCGACTTGAACCTACCCGCTTGTGTTGGCTGCGGGTGTGGGCATCGAGGTATGGAAGCCAGTCACGAGCAGCCTCCTGCGGCAGTTGCTGCTGGTGAAGGGCAAGGCGCATGTCATGACCCAGGCTGCGAGGAACTTGTTTCAAAATGAACAGACGGTGGAAGTATTCGTGCAACGGCAGCTCCCGCAGACGAACGGCCACAGAGTAGCGGTAAGACTTGAGAAAAGAAACCCGGTAGTTGTGTCCTACCTGACAAACCAGCCCCGAAACAAGCCAACAGGACAGCATAAGTACCAGCACGTTCACACATGCTTGCAACTGTAAATACACTGGAACATGCGTGCAAGGCAACAGGTACACGGCGGCCCTGTGCAGGTACACTTGCACTGCACGAACACCAAAGCCCATGCGCGTCGCGCCATAAGCCTGTAAACAGCACCCGTCTATCTGGAAGCGCGCCTAGCAGAGTACATGCATGCAAGTGGCGTTGCAAATATACCTGCACGAGTGCATACGCACGAAGTAGCGAACAAAATGCATAGTGGCAGCAGAATGCAGCTTTAGGAGTAAGTTACCCGCATGGTTTTGACATGTCCTGCTGGGCCAATAATGTAGCTGTCGATGAAGACTCTAGATATATCTGCGCCTTCATCACGAATTTTCTGCTGCTGTTTTGCTAAGACGTTCCAAAGTGCATTTGCTCTGTGTATTGCCAGGGCTTGCAGCCAGTCTAGAGCGTCTGTCAGGTGCAATCCTTTAACCAGCCGCAGAAGCAGCAGCAGCCGCTTCCGTCCCATGGGAACATCCCGCCTCTTCGCGACCCAGACGCGGCCTCTTCCTTTTTCAGGTGCAGACAAATAACTCATGTCTTCGCTGTATACCGCATTGTTGTCTCCATCATGAAGAAACCCACCGGGCTTCCGCCGATGCCGCTGCCGCCTGTCCCGTCCCACAACACTTCCCGTGCTACTTCCCTCCCCCGGACTTGCCCGTTCTGCTGCTACTGCTGCTACTGTTTCTGCTGCTTGTTGGATTTCTAAAGAATGGAAGAGTGCCTGAGTATCGCCGCAGCCCGCTGTCCTACCTGCATGCAGAGGGTGATCCGCTGGCAGGTAGCGCAGTTCCCTTCTGGGGAAGATGTGTTTGCGGCGTCGCATTTGTCTGTTCAACTTGGTTATTTTTCGGCGGCGCCACTCCCAGAAGCCCTTTCTGCGCCAGAAGGGATTTTTAATGCCTGTACAGGAGACAAAGTACAAAAGCAGCACGGTGCATACATCTCTCAAATCCACGTGTTCTGTGGCCCTAAGCTGAACAAACAAGGCCCCAAAACACAACATCAACATACAACACCTCGCATGCAACAGGCAGAAAAGGATCGCCTGCAAGTTCAGGGTTGGGTGGGACTAAACACTCAGGAATACAAATTTGTTTCAACATTCGCGGTCGCTGTAGATATTGTATTTGAATGTACGTACAGAATACTTACTGTTTCTAATTTTTCATGAAGTGTTCGCACTACTTGCTCTTTCTGCCTACGTGTTACCTCCCACAGCGTTGTATCTGGCTTCTCCAAAGTACAGCAAAGAGCAATACCGACAACGGGCAGTGATATGTGGAGATGAACAGCTGTCAGTTCTCGATACCCACCCACTACCCTACTAGAAACTCCACGACTCTTGTGTGTTTGCTACAATTTTGAAAAGAAAATATTGCTACAATGTGGGCTTGCATTCCAAGCAGCGCTGTTTCCCTATTCAACGCGGGTGTACATGTACTTGGGCGTTAGCCTAGGAGAGAATCCCCACCTGCCTTTGTGTTTCGCATTCCAGAGGAGAAGGAGCGAAGCTGCAGGACGTCGATGAATCGCTCGCGCTGCATGCTGGACAGGAAGCTGCTGCAGGCAACACCAGAGTTCAGCAGCCGCGGAGGCCGCACCGCATCGGGCAGACCCCCGCAGATGCTCCCTGCGGTAGCCCTTCTGTTGCAAGCAGCAAGCGGGCAGTTCACAAAGACGTATTTCCTGCTGCTGCAACTGCTGCTGATGCTTCCACTGTTGGAGGAATTGCGGAATGCAACGCCGGGTGTGTAGCAGGGGAAGGGCCCGTACATAAGGCACTTGGGCGACACACAGGAACTCCTACACCCGGAAAGAAGAGCAGAAGCAACAGAAGCAAAACTCCGGCATCCAGCCATTGTCTTGCTTCGTGTCGTTCACTTCATGCCGCCTCCGCATGTAATAATCCGCTTGGGTGTGCAGGACACGGCGACAAGTCACCGCCGAGTTTTGTCCGTCGGCAGCCCCGCCTCCCACCTTTCTGGTTCTCTATTGCTAAAGCTGTGCGCTTAAGGCACTCGCGATGATCGTTAAGCATGTTTACATCCCGATATGAGGAGGAAGTCCTGCTTGCATGCGTCTGTTTTCCGTAGTGGCGGCGGGATTATGTCTCGTAGTGCATAGTTGTGCTAGTAACACACCGAATAAAGTGGATATATGAAGATAAATTTAGGTAGCTTCTGAATTTAATTACAATAACGATCCCCGTAGAGTTGAATACCCCTTGAATTTCGGCTGCCCTTCCACGAATGCATCTAACTCGGGAGTAGTATGCAGTGCAATGTTTAGCCCTTCAGCTCGTCGGAGTGCAAACATTAATAGAGCAAGATACTTGAAACTAAATAAAAACTTCCATCTGGCGAGGGGACATAACGGAAAAGATAAGCGAGACAAGGTGTGCTTCCAGGCTAACCAGCCGCTGTTGTAGCAGAGCTGGGGCTGGAAGAGACCCACCAGCGAGAAAGAAGGCAGCACACAAAGAGGAGAGAGGGAAAGAAAAGTGGACAGGAGGAGACAAAGAAGATAATGAGTATTGTGTACTCTGTGTGTACCGTGTGATCACAAAAGTGTGTTTTCTTGTCTCTATCGCCTCACTAACACATTTCTATGCAGTATCCTGCTTACGGTATTGGGGATCTTATCACCTTATGTGGAGTCCATCACATGCTAGGGGCCCCAATTCTTCTCCAGTTGCAACGTAAATACTGTGTAGTGCAGTCTACTACTAGTACGATTCTCTGGGATTAGTGACTCACGGGGAAATTCCACAGAGAAGATTACCTACCTACCGAAGGGCCTGGGGATCGTGTGGAGACGGCGTTGCCTGTGTAAAGCTGCACGGCAACCTCACCTGCAAGCTCTTCTAAGCCCCCCTGCTACGAAGACGAGAGCTGTAGGCCGTCATTATTAACTATATGACCTTCCATAGGCAGCCTGCGTTGTAAGTCCAGGTGCGTGACAACTCCGCACACACCAAGTGGAAATGCTACGACAATGCGCCAGCAACCCATGGTCAGCAGCGAGACCAAGGACAAAATACCACTAAAGGTTGGACCACTTCGTCATTCTGTGGTGGTTCGAAATCCCTTTTCGTGAAGTGGAGGTGGTGCAGATGGCCACCCCAGTAAGTGACGGTTTGGGAAGCACTGATAGGAGATGTTTCCACCGGTGCCTCGCTGACAGAATTCATAAGCTGTACTTCAGCTGTACCGCAGTGGCTTCGTAGTCAGTGGAGATCGCACCCTGGTATAGGGGATACTTGGAAGCAACCTACCAACCGACTCTTCGAGACCTACCCTCACAGATGTGGGCGTGTAAACCTTGGACACGCTAGACGTGTGATTGCAGCTCCGTGCGCTTTTGCCAGAGCAAAAATACTGTCCTAAAGGGTCAAACGCGCATGCATTTAGAGGTCCGCTCTCTGTGGTAAGTTAGGCGAGTAACGATTTTGAAGGCCTGACTGTAAATGCACACTGGATATGTAGTCTCGGATCGCATATGGGCACTTCAGGTGTCTCCGAGGCAGCTGGCCCGAGGTAAGGCAAGGTGAGAACCTAGTCGCGCGAACACTACGGGGAACCGACGGCGTTTCGGGTTAACGGTTCCGTGTATTTGGTAGGCAAAGAGTTACTTTAACGTCCCACTTTCTAGCGTATGTCGGATTCCCTGTTAAAATACTGGTCTCAAGCATAGGAGAGGAGCGGTCTTTGGTTCTCTCTTGTTCATGCGCAAAATGCGTTCCACAGAAGTACCAAGTGTACATATCTTCGGCACGCCTTTAATGGGTGCCTGCATCACATTAGTTGCAGTTCGACTTATATAATGGGGATTATAACTGGCTTTTCGGGGAGAGTCCGCTTATCGTTCCGACTTTGTACCTTGGAGCAGGTGAATGAAGACTATGTACAGCCCACTTCAAGGAGCAGCGCAAACCCCGAATCGCATGATTCCATCGAACTCAATAGTTTATACCCAGATACCAGGGGTTCCTAAATTGCACTTGTTCTAGAGCCCCCTCCATGCCCCTAGGATGTGTTGGTCCCACACATTTCCTCGAAAGTGGTCGTCAAGCTGTAGATGTTTTGATTGAACTATCATGCGTATTACTCATCTACAATTCGCGTCGAAAATGAGAACAGGAAAATAAGACTCTGAATTAATCAGGCATTCTAAACGTTGCTCCGCAGCTCCAAATCACTGTGTTTAAACCCACTGAATACACCTCCTAGTTCCTTCGTTTATTCGGACGCAAAGCAATTGTGAGTATACACATTGTGCCACTCCTAAGATGTCTATTTGAGTTTCACTTTTTTCATCGGCTGCTCCTCGACCACAGCTGAGCGCACGCGGCAAATCATAGAACCAAATTTGTTTACGCACACGATTGAATAAGACCGAAACATGATATACATATAAGAAGATACGACCAGTATACCAATGGCCGGAGAAGGATGTGCAAAATTATGGAAATACTCGATGCAGATTCAAGGGAAACACAAGCGCATATTCCTGTTTCCTAGTATACGGACCAGCCCCGAAAGGCGAACACGCACACACAACTTACTGCTATAAACGCTGTATTGCTGCTTCAGGAAGTAAACTGCCTTCCTGTCGCTGAGCCGCCTGCAGTGAGTAAATACAGATGACAATTAATGCAGAGCACATTAAACCTTCTTTTGTGGTATGCAAGTTTGTTACCACTGCTTTCAGTACAAGGGAATTCGAAACAGAAACGATCAATGCCCGGTCTTTTTTTCTCGCTGGGTGTAGAACAGGAAGAAACACCATGCAGTGGGTTCAGTCGACGCGTTTGTGTGGGATTGGTCTTCCATGCGAGAACACAACGACGAGGGGCATGTACTCACTTGCGTTGCTCCGCTATCTCTTCTACTACACCCTTCACGTGGGACAAAGGCTGCTGAGTTTGCGCTGCTATTTGCTTCAGCTGAAGACCCGCAGCGCCAGCGGCATCAAACATTTTGAAGAGTTTAACCTTGAGGGAGTCCGAGTCCATGATAACTCCCCGCTTTTCTGAAGACAAAAAACAACAATACCCACTAGCCAAACAGTCCAGGTGCACACGCATTAAATGCAGTATTCTGACAAATTAGTGAATTTTAATAGCAGAACTATCGAGTCACTATACCCTGCATAAGAGCCATCTGTGTGAACAAGGGTTGGACCCAAACAGTTCGCAACCTAGACTACGTGGAAACCTTCTTGCGAACAGCACCAACTTACGCTTGGCTTTCGCCCGTGAAGCGGACTCAAGCCCGCTCCGTTTTCCGTCTTCCGCAGATGCTGAGGTCTTTGGCGTGTAAAATTGAAAGAGCTTGACACAAAACAGACACCACACGACGAGCACGCAGGAAACATGAACCACTAACACCCGAGGCCACCAACACCCGCGATCACCTCCTGTGTCGAGACCTAGGACGCAAGCTTGAGGGTTTCAGTTCCCGTTTATGTGTCTGCGCTGCTTTGCAAGCTAGTCGCACAACAAAAGCGTCGTTTGTAAATACTACAGATAATTTAGATTTGAAAACTGCAAGCGAACGTCCACAAGGTAGTAACCAAAGCGTAGTTGCAGCCAGAAGGAGCAAATCTGAGCCCGCAAGCAATCAAGGTAAGGTACGTGCTCGCGATTTACCGTATGGAGACTGTCGAGGCCTGGGTCCCTACGCATTTCTGCGATGGTGCCACGGCCTGAATAGCAGGAAATGCAGCATAAAGAAGCCACGAACAGCAACTGTATCTTCCCTGCCGAGTTCAATGATAGGTAGTTACTAAGCAGTGTGCGTGAAAGTTCTGAGTAGGTCTTTCCCCGGGAATGGCGCATCAATTACAGCTCCAGAGGAGCGCCAGAAGAGAGAGCATTTATTTATTTGCTTGCGCTGCTGCGGCCCACTTTTGTTCATATCCTCCGCGATGTGGCGCTCATGTAGCACCTTGAGAGGCACACAACAAAAACATGACGGCAAGAAGGGGAAAGTAAGGCGTTCAGGCAAAGGACATACACTGAAGTGGAACAATCGAAACAAGCAACAGGCACAAAGTGCAGTCAATACACTCTCGTGGTGATCGTTAATGAAATACCTGCTGATATCGACTATCAAGTTTGGGCTGGAAGTTTGTTCTGCTAGAAATCTCCCCAATAACGTCTAAGAGATGTTTCCCATTTCGTTGCAGGACGACAGAGCGGTCATTCGATAGCAAAATGGAATCCAAGTAACAGGCACCTCCAGTCTCTGGATCGCGAACCACCAGAGTTTGCTGCAAGCATATGGAGGAACATGCAGGCGAAAATACGTCTACACGTAGCAGTCCATACACACATGAGTGAATACCATAGCATGAAGGGACATCGCCACCACTAACTTGCGTCGTCCCAAGTACTGTTTGGGCTCAAGCAAACTCCTCTGAGTCAAATGCAATTCTAGGCTGCTGTACGCGGTGGACACAGGCAGATTCGAAGTAGAGCGCCAGCCACTACTCGAGGAAAACGACACGAAAACAGACGGGAGAAAGTTCAAATGAATAAACGACGCTCTCACTAAGCTATGCAAACCCACCAGCAAGCATACCTGCATGATGCTGTCAACGATGAATGAAATAAAATGCATGACTTACCTTCCCGTCATTTTCAATCAAAATTCCAGCTGTGGCATCTACCGGTGAGGCACGCCATGACTCCGCTACAAACTTTGGGACCTGCAAACACAACGTTTAATAGGAACGAAGGGAGCGAATAAATTACTTGATTGTCCTGGCCGATGAAGTTATAGAAGGCGTTCTGACAGATACGAACAAATAAAGCAGCAAGATGGATCTGTTAATCTCTCTGTTCTTGTATTTGGCAGCCTCTGTGTGCCGCTGCTGCATTTGCATTTCTTGTAAATGCAGCACTTCCCGTCTAACACTGCTGCGGCTGTTGCTGCTGCTGTCGTGCCGACTGCTCCTGCCAGCCCGCAGCTGACGACCTGTTGCTGCTTCTGTTGTTTTTCTTGCCGTTGCAAACAGGGGAACTTGCCTTGATGAGGGAAAGGGAAACAGCTTTGCTTGCTGGTAAAATGCGGCTAGGCACGAATTCGGCAGGTGCATAGGTAGGCAAGGGTTCTGCCGCTGACCCTCCTCGCCTTGCCATATTTCAAGGCCAGCGCGTAATAAATGAAAAGCTAACGCAAGGTAAGAAAAACGGAAATGAGAACCCTCTGGTTCCCTGCTCTATACGACTGTCGCAGCAGCCAATTCAAATCATGAGGTGGGCATACATGATGCAGTTGAAGCGTATGCGGACAACTGAGACCTGTCTAACAACCAACAAAGCAGCATTCACGGAATGTACGATGGAAAAACCAAAGTATGCAGAAAGGGGAAATCGCCAGTGCTGCTTCCGGTTGAGGCGCTGTGGGCGAGAAGTCCGCGCAAGGTAGGAGAAATAGAGGAACTAAAATAAAAGCACCGAGGAAATGAACACATTGAGCAATCCAATGTAAATGAAAACAAAACACCGTGAATATATAACAACAATGGCTTGTGTAGTGCCAATTTCTGTCAAACGTGTGCCATGGGGCTTGAATGCGAGGAGCAACTCAACACTAAGCAAGTAGAATGTTCAGTATCTGAAAGGGGGCTTTTTTGGGTTCATCAATTTAGCTCAAGTAATCTAGTAATTAAAGTTCAGTGGCAGTGGTGCCTTCTTCTGCAATGGGACAAGCAGCGCCGAGCTGCAACTGCTCAACGTTCTCACTCAGCACCGAACCTAATCCAGCCAGAAATTGTGGATGCTTTCCAAAGAATAAAATTAACTGGTTTTATACATAAACGTATCCTATTCCAGACATAATTGTACATTTCAGTGTGATGCCACTGGGAATGTAAACTGGAACTGAGCGTGGGTGTGCACGCACAGACAATGCACAAGCAAGTAAAACGTTTCGCCATCGCTCCAAACAAACACTCTGAGCATACGAGTCGGTACAGTTTTACGCAAACCACATGTAGAGCCGAAGTATAATTGACAAAAATGTTGCTTGTTCGTATAGCATCCTCTTAACAAGTGGTCTAATCGCGGACTGGCACGCGCAGTGAACCGTGCTTGATAGGACTCTCTTCGAGAGAGCTGACATCCCTACGCAGTCTTCAGGCGTCATTCCCTCGGCTCATGTTATTTTATTTTTAAAAAAAAAGGGGGGAGGGGCCGCTGTACGGAACAACACAGAAGGAACACATTACAGAATTCTGCTTTCTCGTCAGTTGCCTATTAGGAGTCGGTAGTAGTTCTTTCGCCGACGTTAGAGGGACTATCCGACGCCAGGAATGCCAGCCACCAATGCTCTGCTTTTGGATCCGTATGAAGTCGGAATGTGTACCTTTTACAAAGGCATGCAAAGGTGCTTTGAAAAAAGCTCACCAAAGTTATCAAAAGCCACCATCGAATTCTGAGAAATGACGGCTTCTCGATGTATTTGTGTGTTTGACTGTGGCGCCAGGCGCTTACCACATCACTACTTTTATGGCGTTGTTTAGCATCTCATCCAATCACCCATGTGAGAACCCTGGGGGCTTTGGCATATCCACATGCAGCCAAGCATATACGTCCTTGCGGGTACTGTATCCATACTTCTTCAACGAATGAGTGCTCCGGTCTCTATATCAGTCCGAGCTATCGCTAAAGTGCCATATTCCACTGTGGTTGTTCGTTCTGTCGGACTCACCTGCAGATGTCACTAGAGCCTTACGGTCCAGGGCACGACCAACTAGCAAGGTTGCCCAGCCGCTGATGCGCTTTCAACTGCTTTGTGTATGCCCGTGAACGTCTTGCTGCCAGGAATCCGGGGAAGTGACTAGTTGACAGGAGGTTGAGCATGCGTTTATCCTATTACTACAAAGTCCCATGATCTACCTGCTGAGATGAAGCTATCAGACTGTTGGGCAGTGTGGTTGGGATTAGTGACGTCACCAATTCATCAGCTCCTTTAGAGCCATCGTCATTACTTAATCGGCTTGGCTTGACAAGCGTATGCGGCATCACCGCAATGAGACCTCACGGGGTCTTCGCCGCTGTCTGTGCCTTCCCTCTATCTGTTGGATGCAGGTCGAAAATAGCTCAAGTACACCTGATCCTGAGTGCTTGCTATCGTCACTGTGAGAACAGGCAGCAATTTCCTTCACTGGCAGACTAGCCCCGAACGTTCGCAGGGTTGGAGGGTCCTCCATTTGGTTGTGGATTATTTGTGGATTGGCGCACTCAGTCTCGTGGTCATCTATGCAGAACGTGTGCTGCTTGACTTGTGGGTTGCGCATTCTCCGCTGAGTCTACGCATTCCTCTTGTCAGCGGCGACAAGCGACATGCTTAGACTCAGCGTACAACCTCCACGAACCCAACCTTACCTTCGGATGGGTTCGTGGATTGCAGTGCAGGCGCAAGCCTAGTGTGATAAGCCTGCACGCCTCTCCCCATCCTTTCCTCTGGAAATTAAAGCAAGCACGGAAGGTTTGCCGTGAGTATTCAAACAGTGCCTCGCGCAAGCAAGGTAGCCGCAAGAAACGTCAAAACAGCACTCCTTACATTCGCATCGATACAAATTGGAGAGGTGAACAATGCACACCCAACCTCCACCAAACTTCTGCACAGCATGGCGCTACCCAAGACGTAAATGTGTGCATCGGCATGTTTAAATGGCACTCCAGGACCATATAACTAGTCGTCGCATCACTCGCTTCTGCGCATAGATCAGTGCGCTAAATTGTCCCTCTTACCTTGTTGCGTCTACACTGCTGGTTGGACTGAACACTGCATTGCCTTTATTTGCCTACGACAGTAAAGGCTCCACAGCTAACAACTACCTCAAAAACGCCCTCAACTAAGTGGACTAGGACACCAGCTAGTGTGATGCACTCGCCCGGCTGAAGCAACGTTGGCGAAACCAACAACTGCTACTTCTGTTGGATGCAGCTTGCGTGCGAAGCAGCGAGGAGCTCCTTTTTGCCGCAATGCATGACAGACACCCAGATTTGCAGTGATAGCCAAAGCTTTAAACTGGGATGGAGAAAAAAATTTGTACCAGAAATTCCCCTGAACCGTCAGCACGAAACGCTGTCGGTTAAACGGCGAAGTTTGTAGGAACGGACTTTCATGCGCAGCGTGCCTTTCATCAGGCTCGGGGCCAACACCAGATGCCTCTGTGCCACTCCCATGCGCGCGGACACTTCTCAGCAGTTCTGCAATATTCCTCAAAAGCACGCTTATGGCCTTCAGAAACGTCACTTACAACCTTACCACAGACGACAAACCTTTAAACACCTTCGCGATCAGTTCGCTATTACAGCGCAATTGCTCCAACCCGGGCAGAATATGAGGACGTCAAGAATTCGATGGGCCACAAGGAGCGTGCAGCTGGCTCAAGGTTGAAGCACCCGCATCGCTCACTGCATGGGGCCAGAACACACGTCTGCAGCTCGTACGTATCGGCTACAGGGCACTCCTCTGCTTAATAGCTTTGCAGAAACCGTCATCTTCGCTGGCTGTCGGCTTCTTAGCGTCCAAGCTCGCTGTTGTCCACTCCTACCCCTTGCGTTTTGACTTTCCTCATCGGAGTCTCTTTATACGCACGCCGAGCGAGGTAGCGGCTCACCCAAGTTTTAAACTTCCATAAAAAGTTAAAAATGCCCCCCAAGTGCATGAAGTCTGGAATGCTGAAAATGAACTTATGCATAATATCGGCCCCGTCTCGGCTATTCCCTTCGACTGCTCGTACTACATGAAGGAGCACGTTCATCAACACGACAAACACGATGGCGCGCACCAAAGCCCTTCTCGCTGCCCGTTCCTCTGACAAAGGGGAAGCAGGGTTCTCTGCAGAACCCTCCAAAGCAGAGGTCTCACGAGTTGCTGCTCCTGGGTTGCGCATCTGATGGTTAGGGTGGAATTCTCCAGTGGGCAATGAACCTGGATGCCCCCAAGCCACTGGCACTCCATGCTGCGGGTATCCCCAGGGAACGGGGACTCCAGCTGGGACTGATGTTCCAACAGGCATTGTGGGGTGACCGCCATGTGGCATGTGATACATCAAATCGGGTCGCCCAGCGGGAATGGTAAACGTTGCGCCGGCATCCCCCGGGGCATCTACCTGGAGGGAATATGAGCCGAAACATGGCTCGTAGCACCACGCAGCCACTATCCCAGCGATAAGGGCCAAGTGCAGCTTCATTTTACCAAACAGCTGGAGGGAAGCAGCACACAAACTTAGTCACAGGCGTGCTGCCAAGTCCTTTCAACCCCGGGGAAATGGCACGGGCGACGGACAACAAAGATGGTCCTTAACAGGGCTTTGAAGTCTACAGGCGGCAGAAATGAATTATGTCGATCGAAGATCACAGACTGTTGCGCAAGAACGTCATGACAATGGCATTCCAGGCACTAGCACTCGGCTCCCTCTCTCGGACTTTTAGGGAAAACACTAAAAGAAACGAGGTGACAGTGCGAAACGTCCTATTTGGAAAGAGAGCAGCAATCAGTTGACCTCAAACCCTTCCTGACTCCTGTACATCGAATGCAGCTGCTCGCAAGGGCAGTGGAGAACGGAGTCGTCGCTATCCTGCTTCGGTGCAACAGGAGTTGAAGGCATGCAGCACAGATGTCCAGTGTTCATTGTCTTACTAATCCATGTATCTTTGTCCGGAAATGGATTTACAGGAAGATAAATCCACTCAGGTAGAGGGGATACTGCTTGACTGCTTGCAGGCTCTCTAGGCCTGGCGCCGATGGAAGGTGCTTCCCGAGCTGCTCCAGAGCCATAGAATTCTTTTGGTGGGCATATCTGTGCTGACTCCGTAGGAAGGGAGATTATTTAATCACCATAATATGGTCGAATTGTGTAACTCTTAGTGTTCTAGGATGCCAGAAGACATCCTAGAGCACTAAGAGCTACACAATTCGACCAGAATGGCTGATAGTCATTCTGGTAGAGTGGCTTGCGTAGGAGATTGTTCGGATGTCCGTTCATCACAACAGGCTGTATATTGAGGGACGCAAGCTAGTAAAAGTTTACAGTGTTAGCGCAGGCAGCAAAGGGGTTATGGCTATGCTCGAATGCATGGTTGCTGAGGGACCTCGATCTTGGCCTCGAAAAGCGATGCAGTCGACGAGTAAGGGCTAAGGAGCAAAAACACGCCGATTTATCTTCCTACATATATGCACCGCACATGGGGGCAAACACTTGGGTGGTGGGTGAAGAGTAAGCGGTCTGTCATGAGATGAAATTAGCCTTGCTCATAGTGGCGTTGCACGTCAACGTAGGCGCGTATGCTGAAGACCTCTGTTAAAACATGCAGTATTATTGGGAAGATGTTGAAATTGGCCATCAACGGCAAGCATACACATAAGTGGAGACGGGCGAACGAGCTTTTTACATACAGAGCTGCATAGCGCCTCGCACCTTCCAACCCCCGCCTCTTCAGGGCAGCACACGGCCTCGTATGAATGGCTGTCTAGCAAGGGTTTGTATATATGAGCTAAGGGGATATGTCCCCAAGCTCTTGGTTTTCGTCCAGCGCGTGCTTTTGTCGCCGTTTGGCGGGCTCGTGATGCACCTCCCTTATCGCTTGCTGCTGCTCTGTCGTGCTGTTGCATGTCTTGCCGGTGCACGCTTTTGCTGTGCTATTAGTAGGGTTAGAGTGCCGTAGGCCCGGTTGGGGCAACAGTCCCAAGTTATATTTGTGCTTCTGTTAGTTTTTTCAAGCTCTGTTGAGGGGATTACGTCATCCGTGTCTGATGCCTTCCCCTTTCAGTCACTTTACTGGTTCCTGGCGAAGACTCAGTAGCGCTGGAGCTCTTTCCGCTGCCGTTGCAATCGCTGCGGATAGCACCAGCCATTCCTCCCCACGCACCCCAGTTGCCTTTGGAACCAAGAACTCAGACCCGATAGTTGATGGCTGAATCCACAGTTCATCTGGTTGCTTCTCAATATCCGTTATCTTCAAGTGCATCCGATGCGGTACACTCAGCCCCCAGAAAGCTAACCCCAAGTTTATCTCCGGACTCCAGACAACCACAGCATCCTGATGAGGATATTGAGCACAAACCAGATGAAGCCAGGACGTTGGCCCGCTGGTAGTTCACTGCGTGTGAGTGCATCTGAGAGTTTTGTGCAGCACACCAGCTGTGCGTGGGTGCCCCAATTCCTTTGACACTGTTTCCGCTTCAATCTCCACAGACAAGGAAAATATCACTGAGAGGTGCACTTACGTATTGATCTTTGGCACAAAGTCACCCGTGGTGGCCTATAGGGGCCTACAGTGAGCTCTCCGCAGACTCATCCACGGCATACCAAGGATTATCCCGAGCTGAAGCAGTCCAGAGTTTAGTTCGCGTACCGGGGTGATGTGGGACATTTTGGGGGTGTTCCTGCAGCTAAGCGTGATGCCTTTAGCTCTATTCTCTCCTTGCCTGGTGCAGACATACGGTACGAGCAAAAGGTGACGCTGGGGGCTCCTCCCCATCAATACGTGTTCGGATAGGCAGAGCTGACTAGTTGTAGCGATACTTGCTCGGCTATTACATTTTGCGGCTCCTCTAGTTTCGCTGGGGGCAGTATGTATTCCTGGTCGGTTTGCTTCTTCCCTTGGCGGTATTGTCTGAAGTCTCGTGTTTTCATTCTACTTCCTCCTTTCACTCAGTACTTCCCCCGGGCTTGACGACTGCTGGACTTGCCGACTGTTTTCTGCCGTCTCCGTATAGATGCTTCTTTGGGAGGACTGCATTCACAGTATGGATGCCTATATGTCCTGTCAATAGAATGTTTTCAACTACTTTCCATTCCTTCGCAGATAATGCTGCTAAAGGGTCCCGTTTCCACTGCCAGTTGTGGGAGGACTGCAGGCTGGTTGCACCCTTTCCCACTGTACTTCCCACCCTGAGACCCACTGCCTGGCGCCACAGGAGCGCCCCGCTAAGAGACATTTAGAATCTCTCAGCGCATATATGAACATTTTCGCACAGATGATGAATACGCACTTACGCACGACACTATTCGCAGATGCATTGTCGACCTGCTAGGTAGCAGGGCACGTTGGGAAGCTATGCTCCCAGTCCTCACATGCTCTGTGCGTGGGTAACTTCGCTTAAGTATAGCTCCCAAAGGAGTGCTTGCCCAAAATAAAAGCGGAGGAAACAGCAACCAAAACTCACCGGGTGCATTTCTTATTTGAAACTGCAGATCCAAAGAAGCAAGTAATCCCTCCAATACTGTCGTTTGACGGAGCCGGTTTTATTTGCACTACCAGGAAAAGCTGAGGATGAATTACCCTGTCAGGTTGAACATTTCCAACTGAATGAGCCTGCGCTCCTACAATGTAAAGACAGCACGTAGCAGTTAGTCGTCCCGTCGGAAGGTAATGCTTATAATTTCTCTTCCAGGACAAAGCACCTGCCAGACACAAAAGTGCCAATGCCAGCAAGCCGTGGATATCGCTGGTCGAGGTTTCAACAGTGAGCCATTCTGTGAAACCTTTTGCGACGGCATTCCTGAACCCCTGCACAGGAAGGACATCAGCTGGTACAGCCTAACACAACGTAGGATGAGTGCTCCAAAAGAGCAAATAACACTCCTCCAGCAAAAAAAGGCCCTAAGCAAAGAGAAGAGGCTCAAGCTGCGGAGGAGGCAGCCTTTCACCAGCTGCAGAGCACTTTTCTCCTACATCCGCTGCAAAAGCCACCCTATATTCTAAGCTGTCCACTCTGTTGTAGTGTGCACTAACACAGAAGAGTATACTTCAAACATTTCTTCGTCCTGATTGCCCAGCCTGTAGACAAGTAGAAATATGGCTACCATCTTTAGCCAGTACTGCCCTCTCAGCTCGCTGCACTTGTGTCGTCGCTATAACGTGGGTCCCCAAACCTATCAAGCTGCAAGAGAAGAAACGGACCGTAGAACCTAGTCGCCCTACCGTAACTCAATGCTCAACACAGCCCCACATGCAAGCGCAAACAAGCAATCTTGGTTTCATGCATGAACATGGTAGATAATGTTCGAATACCTCTACTTGCGTGCATGCCGCCTGCAACGTCCACATGATGGTTCCTTCGCAGGTATGGTTCCACGGCGAATGAAACCCCGTGGCACCATTAGAAAGTCTATGCTACAGCTCTGCGCAAGATACCGCGAGACTGAAGGGGTGGCTGGGTGCTGTTGGTAAATTATCGTCTAGTAATTTGCCTTTTCTGCAGCTCACGACTGTCTTCTTATGAACACAGTCTGGAGCTGCACTAAGTCGAGTGCTCGCTACACATGCAACAACTCCAAGACAATGCTACGACAAGGCTACACAAAAACTGTGGAATTAAAGCTTACAGCAGGAAACCTATAGGAGCAATTATGACAAAGAAAACCAACAGAAGCATCCTACAGATTCGGCAACACAGACTTCCGCGATTTCTAGACCCGTGGAACGTATATCCCTTGAGCGGGAGATCCTGACTAGAGAAGGATGTGGGTGACGAGGGCAAGGGAGGCAGTTTAAATGTTAATGCCATCTCTGCTTTTGAAAACTTATTTTGTATTCGTGAAAAACGAAAGGGATTGTAAGAGTGTTCACCGTTGGTGTTTTGGCGAAAGCCCACAAAGTGGTGTCGGACGAGCATGGGGCCGGGAGTGGAACGATGAGGCGTCAAATGCTTTGGCGGCAGAGTCTACGAGCAATTTAGCCGTCAAAACATTCTTCTTGCGGTCAGTTTGTGTTAAACTGACCTATAGACTTCTCTGCAAGCGTACTTTACCCTTATTTTGCATCTGAAACAACGACGGGGTTCTGCGCGGGCCTCTGTAGTTGGCTTCATGCACAGGCCTCCAGTCGTAGACAATTGTAGTTTATTCTTCCATATTTGAACCGTTACATTTTGCTGACAGTATTTGAAACATACACAAAAGCAGCATTTACCTAGCGGCACTCTGCGGCGTCGTGGGTTGCCCTGTGTTGCAAAGATGAACGCCTCGAGTTCTTCCTCGCTTCATCGTAGCAGCTAGTTTTCTATTAATTCTCTCTTCCAAGTCTTTTACAGGGTTCAAATGGGCCCTTGTAAGAAGGAAAAGATACCTACGCTCCTTCCTGCGCTATTGCGACCTCTCGCGCCGATGCTGCAACGCAAGCAGCACACTTAGCAGCGACAGCAGCAGCAGCAGCCACGCTGACGCCTCTCACGATGGGGGACTCAGACAGTATTCCTTCGTCCTCTTCGGACATGGAGGTGGATCTGGATTCCAACGAGTGGAAGGAGTTCGAGCTACCGATAGTTGAGCCCGATTCCGAGTTCCTGCAGCAGCAGTTCTATCTGCAGCAACGGATATTGCAGCAGCACCTGCATGAGAGCCGAAGTCGATGGAGGGCCTGGAAAAAAGCAGCTTGGGTCCTTTTATTCTCTCTATGCTCTGCTGCAGTAATCCGCCAGCTGAGCGCTTCCGGAAGGAGGAACACTGTAAAACCCGACACCTATGGGGATTTAGAAGCAAAGTTCACGCTGGACATAACTGATGATGTCGAAGGCCAGCCAAAGCCAGAGGTACAGGTGCAGGTCCAGCAAGAACAGCAGAAGCAGGACCAGCAGCTTCAACAGGAACATCATGGAGGGTACCGGCTGTTGGACGAATCGGAGCACCATGGAGGGTACCAGCTATTGGAGGAACAGGAGCAGCAAGAGCAGAAGCATAACGAACGGGAGCAGCAAGAGCACGAACAGGAGCAGGTACAGCACGAACAGGAGCAGGTACAGCACGAGCAGAAGCAGGAAGAGCCCGAGCAAAAGCAGGGACGGGACGAGGAGCAGGAGCAAAGGCAGCAGGAGGAACGTGAGTCTAGGGAAGAAGAAAGGCAGCAACGGCAAGAAGGAGAGGAGATAGGGAAGCAGCAGAAACAGGAGCAGAAGCACGGGAAGGATCTGTATCTCGATCGGGAGTTGGGGCGGGAACTGGAGCAGCCCCGGGAGCAAAAGTCTGAGCAGGAGCCACAGCAGAAGAGGAAGGAAGAGGACGACCAGGAGGAGGAGCAAGAGCATGCCGACAAGGTCAGCCAAGAGGAGCAGCCAAAGGAGGCGACCAATTGGTTTTTCATGGGCATGGGGCTCTTTAAAGACAAGGGTAAGGGAGCCCACAAGGAGAAGGACAAGTCCCACAGGGAGAAAGAGAAGGGAACGCACAAGGAGAAAGAAAAAGGAGAGTCCAAGGAGAAGGAGAAAGGGTCTCACAGGAGGGTGTCGTTTAAAGACAAATCTAACAAGAAGAGGTGGTCCCACAAAAAGGGGCTCCAGGACGAGGAGGAGGCCTTCGAAGATAGTTGGCTCCCTAAAGAGGAAAGTAGGAAGGAAGAGGGGCCTACAGATGCGGGGTTGCGGGCGGAAGGCGAAGACAAGGAAGAAAGAATTCATCATGAAGAGGAGGGTCTTGAGAGACGGGGTGGTGGACAGGAACCCGGAACAGAAGGTGTGGGCGACCCGGCTGAGGGTGTTGCTGCTGCGGGAGTTGCTCCGGGAGATGCAGGTGTTGCGGACGCTGCTGCTGGAGGCGCTACTGCTGCTGGTACTGCAGCAGCAGATGGGGAGGGGGCAGAGGAAGGCAGTGGCGGGCAGTTTTGGGAAGATTGGCAGGAGGGGGACTCCTTTCTGGAGAGGCTGGCGCCTGTCTTTGTGTCCCCGAAACCTCCCTTTCCTGGTGGGCAGTGCGAAAAGGAGAGGACCATGAACGAGGCAGTCGAAGCGATGCAGGTGCTTGAGGAGCATAGTGGAAAAGAGGCTGCAGATGCTTTCATGGCCTTGCTGACAAAGCCGCTGGCGAAGGAGGACCCCAAGAATATGTCGACGGAGGTGTTGCAGTCTCTCATTATTGAGAGAGCCAAACAGAAGGCAGCACTCTCAGCACTTAGAGCCTTCCAAGCCCGGCGCGAACGCGAGAAAGCTCTGGCGCGCATGCTGGTTCTAGAGCAGCTTCACATTTTGCTGAAGAGACATCTAGACCAGGGAACCCCACTCCCTGCCAGCTTTGCAGGGCTGGTGGAAAGAAGCGGCTCTCGTGTGGACATTGAGCGGGAGAGCGCAGTCTTGGCAGCTGCACGGCGAGAGTACGAGGAGGCGTTAGCCATCGAGGGCGGAGAGCTCCAGCTGCTACAGTACGATTTGCTGGAGGCTGCGGCTCACTTTACTGCTGCAGATGTCTTCGTGCGCGCAGGGGAAATTCCAGCAGAGTGGAAAGCAAAAATGCCCAAGTACAAGGACTTGGCGGTCGCTTTAGGCGAGGATATTCGTAACCTTACCAGCACCAGTGTTATTGGGAATGTTCCGGGCATGGCAAGAACCGCTGTGGAGGCGGCGAAGGCAACTCTGAGAGACAACACAGCCGCAGGACAGCTCGTCAGGAAGCTGTTGTTCCTTGTCGACCTTCGTAGGAAGGCCAACTCCAGCTTTAAACAGTGGGCCGATCCCCAGCTGGACAACTCAACCGAAAAAATGGTTCATTTCGCCAGGAGGAGAGCCTTCGAGCTCACGGAGAAGGCGGAAAAGCTCAAACAGGAATTCGCTAATGAAGTTGACGCAACGACTGGAGAAAAGAAGCTCCGGGGGTTGGACTCCTGGTTTGCTCTTTTATTATAAATGGATGCGTAGATCAGACGAAAAACTGAAAAGCATGAAGGTTATCGAATTCCACGAAGATAAAGCACGAGATGGGGCATCCATTGGTTTCCTCGAAATGGCGAGGCAGAAGCCATCGCAGTCTTCTGCTTTCCGTGAAGTAATACCAGCTGATTGTCATGTGTGGCGATCTACATCAGTCAGTTGACAGATTCGTTTACATGTACAGAAAATGATGATGCAGTCCGCAGAAGGATATATGCGTTGAGCTTCGCCCGCAGCACTCTTCAAGCCTCCACGCGTGCTTATTTTTAGGTAGTTTTCTCGTAAACTCCCCTCCACTCTACATGCATGCTTGCTCGCGCGCATGCAGTTTGGCTTGCATGCATGGATAACTTTCAGTCGCCCAGGCGTATTCGGGCCACCTTTTGACGGGTGTGAGGAGGGAAAGGTACGTACGAATTGCAATGTTTCATTTTATCGTCCGTTCCATTTATTGCTTACCAAGTGCCGAGATACGCAGGCGCCTCCAATGCAGGCCACAGGGCAGCGACTGCCTTACCGACGCCTAGAGAATACGATGTACGGTTGAGATTTTTGGGCTTGATATGGTTTGAATTCCACGTGGCCAGAGAGAGGGTGTGAGTATTGAGAGCAATTGCTATTGTCTAGGGTTTAGGCTTGTGGCAAAGTACCCCTCAGAGGAGCAAGTTGTGTTAGTGCACGCCAACAAATTCGCACAATGGAACAAAAAGAAAAAACGCCCCGTCTCTGTCGGGCTTCAAGGTAGCTGCCTGTTGAGAAGTGGTGTAGGCAGAAACGGGGGCATGCGTAGCCATGCTTACACGTATGAACTAAACAATGGTGAGCTTTCGGAAGACAATATGAAGTACAGGTGCCAATGAAGTTTTGCGCGTACTAGTGCATATCCTATGGGCAGGGCCATGCCTGGCCTCTAGAACAGACAGTGACGACACTTAGCTGCCGTCGCTGCTGTTTCTGCTGCTAGTTTCCAATCGCGTTGCTCCCACTGAGGGGCGGGAGTAACGGAAGCTGCCCCTGGAACTACCTAACTGGGGGCGGTGGTAGGGGAACAGCACTTTGTACGACATCTGCAAGAGACACGCTCTGCAGGGTCTCCGCCACGGTTGTAAAAGCTGTCCTCAGCAACCCCTGCAGCAATGGATGGGAAGTAATTGAATTTGCATATGCGGCTGCCTGAGCGCGCCGCTGCAGCTTCTTAAGGGCAGCAGGGTTGGAACCTCCCTGCCCGCCTCCAGAGAGCAACTGCTGCAGCTGCTGCAGGTGCTGTAACTGCTGAAGCTGCTGCTGCTGCTGCTGTCCTGGCAAGAACGTTGTCAGGTACTGGGCATACTGGGCAGCAGGGCCCATCTGAGAGGGATCAAAGCGCTGCAGCTGACGGTAGATACCTGGCGGAGACGTAGTGGAGAAGGATTCTGCTGTATTTACACCTGGCGTAGCTGTCAAGGGCGACTGGACCGTTTCAATAACGGGGATACTCCCCTCATCAGGCTGAAAGAAGCCTGGGAGTTCGTTTGGTAACATAACATGTAATTCTCTGGCGTCATTAGAAACTGAGGACAACTCTGCTTCGTCTATGTGAGATACAGCGTCTGGGTCTTGCTGCAGCCCTGTAACGTGTTCGTCACTCTTTTCAAACAGCTCGAATCCTCCTGTTGGGACTCTCTGTTGCTCTTCCGCTTCATGGGCTTCCTGGAATGAGTTGCACATTGGGGAGCTGGACAAGTGCTTAGACGACCGTACACGGAGGCGTCCAGGCACAGGGCTTCGCCGTGTCGGGATGTCTTCTGCTACATCCTCAGGCACATACGAATGGGTAGAGGGAGTTCGTGAGGCATCACTTTGCTGCTGCTGTTGAATGGGGATGGCTGCTGCCAACTCGATGGGCAAAATAGAAAATTTGGTGAACACGGGTAAAAAGAGTGGAAGAAAAAGTACGGCCATCGAAAGTGTTTCAGCACCTCTCTGGCGTCGCTTGCATTGCCAAGTCATCTCAGGGTTGGTGTCGCAATGTCTATGGCAATGCACGACGAGGAGAAGTACAAACTCAGCTCTAAAAATGCAAGGGAACACACCCGACGTATGTGTGGGTCGGACAGGAACAATTTCACTTAAGCTGGCCCGCGGAGTGGGGGGAATGATGTAAAAGTGGTCTTGAACCCCATAAAGGTATAGTAATGAAGACAATGCTGTTTTATGAGGGGCTCCGCGATAGCGTCGCAACGAACCTACCCAGGCGGACCAATGGGCAGCAAGGCTGCAACGGGGTTGAAGGAAGGCTACACGCAGACGCTGCGTGTTTCGTCAGCCCGATTTCATTTCGTTTTAATATTTATTTGAATTGGGGTACTCGTGGGTCTTGTGTAGCTGTACAATCCATAGATGACTCCGTTTCTGGCAGAAGCACTCACCATAGCGCCAACCGTAGCAGAGGGAGAGGGGAAGCGGATCCGACCAGTGCATTCACCAGTGGCACATTGGAGGCCATAAGTAAGAAAAGTGTTTCTAAAAGTTTGGATACTTCTATCAGCCAGTTTAATTTCAGTTTTCTTGAATTCCCAATTCAAATTCCCTCGCCGCTTGCGACTCTTCAGTTGTTGTACCCCAGTTGTGCCCTGGTCGCCATCTAAAGTAATACGGAAAGTGACGCAAAATAAAATCCTCACGATTGCTTCACAGTATTTTTGCCTGCTGTTTCGTGTCGTAGTATAAGGGTGTTTCTTCGAAGGCATTCTTCCGGGTGCATCTTTGGGACCGAAGACTTTGAAGAACGGCTGAGTTTTCCATACGGAAAAGCAAAAACAGACTGCTGTGCGGTGTCCTCACACTGTATAGGGGAATAGGTAGTTGTAGCAGGCAAGGGAAGCTGGAGAATATAGAACCTTATCGATCAGGGCGCCTGGAGATTTCGTCGGCGACAAAGTTGGGGATTCATTGGATACACGTGAGTGCGGTGTCTTGCTGGGAAGCCGACCATTTCCTGCACCTCCAATAGACTGAGTTGGAGTCACCTCTTTCCTTTAACTTGGGGACGCTGCTTACAATCCTACTGCAGCAGGCGACCGCCATGCAGTTGAAAGCGCCGACAGTTGCACTTAGTGCTGCCCGTCACATATGCCGCAATGCGAACCCTCCACTGAGTTACCCACAACATCCCAAGAATTATGTTGTGGTGACCTGGTTCAACGTAGAATTCTTATGCCATGCTAGTGTGATCCATTTCTGAAGTTGTCGGCCATCTATCTCTCGGTTTACGGTCAAGGGTGTATAGTTAAAATCCGGCTTCGGCTCTATTCGCTGGCTGGAGTGGCAGCGCTTAATCTTTTGGGAAAGTTCCACCCATTCATCGCTAAGTTGCTTACCGACTGACTCCCCCCAAGGGGCACGCTTTCAATGGACCACTCAGCAGTATCGAATGCACGATGGGACTTCTGTTAACCAAGGTAAGTATTTTTTTTGCATAGCTCTATCAACAAGTTTCCTGTTGGGGTTATGCTGATACCGCCATTGGCTTTTACAGGATTGGTACTATTTCGCAACACATGCCCCACAGTCCCCACAGTTCGGATGCCCCTAGACAGAGACATCCTGGCTGAGACAGTGCAACCAGTGCCGTGTATAGCCTTCACTTGATCAACTACAGTTTCTGATAGCACTTGTAGCTTTACTAGCTCATTTTGAAGACGAAGGTAAGTCTAGAGAAGCAAAGATCTCTGCCATTGCGCCATCATAGAGGCGCTTGCCATATGAGGACAGGCCGCCCGCAGCGGTGGTACTCTCTATAGAATACGCTGTCTGGTCAGTGGATACAGAAACCCACCTAGTGCGGCAAGGCGCCCAGCCGTTCCCTGTTCCACCACTGGAGGGCAGGCCCTAATCAATGAGGAAAATCCCCAAAGCTATTTTCCCTTAAATAGTAAATGCCCTTACGGTTACTCACTGCTGTAGCGCAGGCCAACCGGTTCAGGTAGGGCCGATCTATCCGTTAGCAGATAATCTGGCGATTTTATGTGCTTGGAGCTGTTCATGGGACCTGCGATATTTTGTGGACTTAGAGGGCAACTTCCCAGTCACCAGAAGGGTCCTTTGGTCATACGGGCGCCTCGGTGGCAGTCCTGGAGGAAGTTTGTCGGGGAATACCGCGCGATAATCCCGCAACACGTATAGAATCAGGCGTGGAGTTGCTCTTGCCGCCTCGGACTCCAACAACTTGTCATAGTGGGTGTGCTCCAAGGCTGTTGGCCAAGCGGATTCTTCTAGATCATCCGTCAGCGCAGTAGTTGCGGGGGCCTCTGGATCTGTCTGATTGATGGAGGCTGGGGAGGTCCCGAACAAAGCATAACACAAGGCCCCCGTGTCCCTCATCTGACAATCTCTGGGCCGCTGATAGAGCAAGTATGTCGAATAATCCTTGTAGCGGGTGTACTAGGCCTGCTGTATTCTCCTTAGCTTGTTGTAGTAACGCATCTATATTCACTTTCTTCCTCGCCCCGGGGGGGTGATTCGCACCTCCGGGGTGGTAGACGTAGAAGTGCGCTCGCCTCATCCATTGGCATGTCGGCTACTTGTTTGGCAAGTATATCAAAGCCCTGCTCTGAAGGGGTCCGTCCGCCTGGCGGGAGGGCATTGCGAGGCCGAGTGCCCCTTGCCCCTGCACTCGAAACATGCATATTCCCTTGAGCCTCGCCGATCCCGTGGATTACCTCGTTTCCAAAGTAATGTCTAAGCACTGCATTCCACGGCAGGCGTGGATAGCTAGCTAACTGATCCTAGAAAGCTATGACTCGATCTAATGGTACCCTGATCCCTGGAATATTTAGTAGTATTAATTCCTTTTCCTAGCTAATAATGTCCTAATGCCTAAAACATTTAATATTTAGTCCCTTCACTAACCTAAGGCCGCTAGAGGTCACACCCGAGACACATTGTAGTACCTGTGCACTACAGGTCCGACCCCACATGGGGGGCCCAGCAAGCAGCACACAAATGACAAGCTTTTTCAGTCTTCAAGCTAACATATCGCCCTTCTTGTACCAAAATGCGAACTGAATTAGAATGATAAATTTAGAAGGCAGGCCAAAGAACAAATTCTCGTAACTTTCTCCCTCTTTTGTTATCGGCATTTTGTGTTCGCGTTGCCGCTGCAGCCCCAGCCTCGATGTTGACTTCGGTAGCGTACTTCTGGGTTCTTTGATTCAGTAAATGAATTTATATTATCTTTTTACTTCGTTCTGCCCATTTCTATTTGTAAGGGAAACGGCGGGCAGTAAGGGGTGGCAGCCGCCGGCCGGCCTCTAGGTGTATCGGCACTAGCTGCAATGAATTCCGTTCCTGAACGACGACTTCTCCGTTTACGCCTTCCCTGTAGTTTTAGCTGCAGTAATCTTAGAGTGTTTGTGTTTATCTTGATTTTTTACGTTCTCCGCTTCCCTCATGCGGCCTTAAACCCTCAGCTTTCCCACGGCAGGAAGAAACTTATGCAAACGACGGAAGATGTCGGATCCGAATTTGGTGGTTTCGACAAACGTCAAGTCGGCGCGTTTAGAGTTCTTAGGAGATGAAGAAATCCGCAAGCTGTCCTGTTGCCGCGTTGTATCTCCTGCTGCCTTTGCAGCTCCTGAGGGTTCCGGTTTGGGCGCGGGCGGTTCTAAACCGTGGGGAGGGGATGCAACTGGAGCCGCCGCCGCTGCCGCAGCAGCAGCGGCTGGGCTCGCTGCTGCTGTTCCAGGGGGCGTGCATGACAGTCGCATGGGTGTTTTCGATGGAAGGGAAACCTGCGGCACCTGCGGTGCATCCGGCAGCTGCCCAGGCCATATTGGCCACATAGAGCTTGAGTTGCCTGCACTGCAGCCGATTCTGATGCCTTCTCTTGTTAAACTCCTAAAGGGAGTAAGGCAAGGCCATTTGATGTTGCATCTACCGTTGATGCTGCTTGTGTTGCTGCTGTTGTGGAGTTTGGACAGTTGCCCTACTACAGCCATTGCTGCATTTGCTCTTGCGGTTGCTGCTGTTGCTGTCAGGTTTGTTTGGAGTGCCGCCGCCTTCGGCTGCCAAGGCAGCAGAAGGGACTGGAGGCGAAGAGATTCCAGCTTCTGCAGCTGCTGTTGCTGAAGGAGCTGCAGCTGATGGACTCTGCCGTTACACGCAGCAGCAGCGGCAACAATGGTGGGGACGCAGAGGCCTCCAAGAGGAGGTCAGACATATTGAAGATCTTCGCTGCTGTGGATGCTGAGCTCAGCGCCCGCATGCAGCAGGAGGAGGGAGAAAAGCAGCAACTGGAGTCCCACGTGGATTCAGGCGGCTTAGCAGCAGCAGAAACAGGCGGTGACGAGGCAGGAGTAGCTACAGACACAGCAGCAAAAGCAGCAGCAGATTCGAAGAAGACTTTCCTGCTGCAACACATTGCAAGGGATCTGAGCGGCAGCAGCATGCAGGTTTCTGCATGGCGCGCCTTCCGCAGTAGAGTTCTCCAGCAGGCAGCAGCAGTAACGCGCTGCAGCCATTGTGGCGTGTAAGCCCACAACCCTAAACAATAAACCATAAACTCTAGAACATCCGTGCGCATAACACGCTTATTTGTCCCGTCTTCGCGTTGCCATCCAGTGGATATGTTCACGAAGAGGGCATCCTCAAAACGCCCAACCGTTTAGGGTCTCGGGTGAAGGGAATGGAGTGTAGGGCTTTTTGTGGGGTGTTTGAGCAGCGCGAACGCGGTGTCTGTACACCTGGCGCCCAAGGGCTCAGGGGTGGAGCTGCGGTGGCCGTGGCAGTTGTCTCTGCCGTACAGTGGCAGCAGTTTTTTCGGGTCATTGTTTCATAAAGGGGTTGCAGCGGGCAGCACCGAAGCTGCAGCAGCAACAACAGCAGAGACTCGCGTGCGCCCTGATGAAGGCTGTTTGAAGTACAGTGAGCTTTTTCACGGAGCTGAGCTTGGCATTCGATTTTCCAAGAGAGGACAAAGTGTTTCATTGGGTTGATGGTTTAGAGTTCAGGGTTTGGCCCAGCAAAGTATTGCGAGTGTACGTGGATGAGGGTCCAAACCGAGTACAACCAGAATTAAGCCATTTTTTCCGTTCCAACCAACGCAAGAAAATGGGGTCGCAGTTGTCTGGCCTGTCACCCGGTGGCACCCAGTTTGCGCCGGCACCAGTTTAATACGGCTCACCTGATATGCATGTATTGTTTAAATACGTAGATTTCTACCTTTGTATTGGGCATACTATTATTTAAATGTTATAGTAAACTAGTGAACTATGGTGGTCGTTTAGGCGGTGCCTGCTTCCGCAGGCAGCTGCAACAGTGAGAGCATGCAGAATATGTACGCTCATAATTCGAGCACGTACCAGGAATGCATGAAGCCTATATGCTGCTGGTGCTGCGTTTGCTGCTGTTGCCGCTGCAGGCCGAACGGGGAAGGCAATTGGCTGTGTGGAGCTTCAGGGCTTTCAATTGTATCCGCTGCTTCAGACGCTGTTCAGCTTTGACGATGATCGGCTGCTTTTGAACTACGTGTTCCCCATGAGTAGGTTGTTGTTTCGGCTACTGTTGCTGCTCTTGCGGCTGCTGTTAATGCTGGTCTCGGTGCAGTTCCTGCTCTCGCTGCTGCTGCGGTTGCCACTGCTTTGTGTTTGAATGACGGGACCGCCAATTTTGCAATGTGGCGGCACTTGACGTTCCGTCCACCTCCTGTTTTGTCCCGTGTGTGCTGTCCTCTTTTTCTTGCGTTGTCTTATGTTTTCAATTTCTTGGTGGTCTTGGTTGATCGTTGCTTTTGTTTGTTGGTGGGCGCGCCAACCATTTATTCTTCTAGGGAAGATACTCGTAGCGCTCGTGGTTCGTGCGTGTTTGCGTGGGTTACAAGCTCTGTTGTTTGCGGAGGATTTATTGTTGGAGAGGTTTAGTTGCTGCCGTGTGCTTCTTGTGTTGCATGCTGCACCTCTGCGCAGCCATTCAGCTGGGGCCCTCCGTTTTTTTCCAGCAGGCTCTGGCCGTAGCAGCAAACCGCTTTCGGCCGCCGACTGCGGCAGCAGCAAGGGGTCTGGGAGGCCGCGGAGGAGGGGGACAGTTGCTGCATCCACGGACGCAGCAGTTGCAGGATATTCTCCGACTTAATGAAAAACTGCGGTTCGCGCTGAACGTGTTGAAACATCCCAACCCTCTCGAGGCCCTCAAAGACCCAACTCAGTGGGCTGCGCTCTTCACAGGAGCCACAGACAAACAGCAGCAGCAACAGCAGCAGCAGCAACTGGCCCCGGAGCAGCAGCAACTGCTACAAGAATTCGTCGAACAACATGCTGCAGGCGGGGGCAAATGGCTCAGCACCTACGCGCTGCAGCTTCAGCTCAAACTAAATGAAATCGTCGACAACACGCGAGCCGAGAAGCCGTAGGCCTTTCACCCTGTATATACACCCGTGGTTTTAGATGTATGGGCGTTTCCAGCTCATTCATGTTCCCAGGTTTTATACTCGCCAGTTGTACGTAAAGCGGATGCGCGCTGAAGCCTTGAGATGTACTGCATACCACGTGGGAACATCCAGAATCTCTAAACGCGTTGGGTTTGCATGCAGCCACTCTTTACTAGTCTCATGTTAGTATTACCACCAGTCAAAAGATATAGGCGTGCACATCTGCATCTATATTATACGCTCTGCCTCGTTTTTCGCGTGTACAGACAGGCAGCTCCCCCCGGCATTCGGCAGTGGATGGAGCGGAAGGCAGGAGCCATTCGCCAGCGCATGCAAGGGAAGCGTGTCAACTATGCTGCTCGAACCGTCTTAGCGCCTGACGGCCTCCTGGCGCCTAATGAGGTTAGTGTTCAGGTTTTAGGGGTTGGTGTTTAGGGCTGAGTTTGAAGGGTTCAGTGGTGGGGCCTGTTCGGTTCGGCCGTGGCATTCACGATTTAGGCCTTGGGATCTAGGGCTTACGTTTTATGGTCTGGGGTTTGTTCAGGTGGCGGTGCCTCTGGAGTTTGCAATGAAGCTGTCGGTTCCCGAGGCGGTGACGGCTTTTAATGCCTCGCAATTGAGTCAAATGATTCGAAACGGCCCCAACAAACATCCAGGGGCTCTGGCGCTGCAGGATGATAAGGGAAACACGTAAGCATGCTACGTAGGATTAAAAATTTAGGGTTTGGTGGTCAGTGAGCTCCTTTTCTAAAGATTTGCTGGTAGGTCGTTCTAGTGTTTAGCATACTCCGTCATGGTTGTGTGTGTTTATATGTGGTTCTTGCTTGTGTGCGGCTCTCTTTTCTTCTGTTTCCCAGCTTCAACTTGGAGTTCATGTCACAGTCTGCGCGGGCGGCAAAAGCGCTGGAGCTGGAGGCGTTTGCCGCGGCAGGGACGTCTGATGGATCGGTGTTCAAGGTCTACAGACACCTGAAGGACGGCGACGTGGTGCTGATGAACCGCCAGCCGTCGTTGCATCGGCTTTCGTTAATGGCGCATTTTGTGAAGGTTGCAAAACCGATGACAAGAGAGTTTCACGTTAATACCTTTATTGAGGCTGCCGGCCTCAGGCGCAAAGATGGTTCCTACAGACAGGTTACCCAAAGCCTCCTCAAAAAGCGCATACAGCAGCAGCAGCAGCAGGAAGAGGGAGAACAGCAGCCACAAGCCGCAGCAGCAGCAGCGGCCGCAGCAGCAAAAGCAGAAAAGGAAATCGCAGAACGTGTCTTCAGAATCAACTTCGTTAACTGCAGCAGCTACAACGCAGATTTTGACGGAGATGAGATGAACCTCCATGTCCCACAGGTAAACAATGGAAGCAGCAGAAGCAGCAGTAGCAGGAGCAGCAGTAGGAATACATCTGCAACAGTAGCCGCACAGGAGAAGCACTCGCATCAGGAAACAGACGAAGCCGACAGATTTTAAGGATAGAATGAAGCACCAAAAAGAGCCGCTCTGTGAAACCGGCCACCTGCTACTGCTGCTGCTGCTGCTGTTGCTTTCGTATTGCTGTTGCTTCCGTGTTGCTGCCGCTCCTCCTGCTGCTGTGTCGTGTTTTTACCACTGTCTTTCTTCTGTTACTGCTGTTTCTCTTGCTGTCGCTGTTGCTGCTCCTGTTGTTGTTACTTCTGCCGTTGTTACTTCTGCCGTTGCTGCATCTGCTGCTATTGCTCCCCCTGCTGCTGTTTCTGTTGCTGCTGCTGCAGGATGCAGTGGCTCGTTCGGAGGCTAGTCAGATAGTTAATGCGGACAGTCAATTTACGGTCCCTAAGAACGGCGATCTGGTGCGGGGTCTCATACAAGACTATTGCCTGGCGGGAGCTCTAATGACTGGCAGAGACACTTTTCTCGATGTTCACAGCTACCAAACACTTGTGCGCAACACACGCAAACTACAATTTTGGACCGATGTATAGGCAGGACCATGCGGCGTATAGGCGACTCCGTGTGATGTATAGCGGGGGGTGTATGGAAGGCTGCCGTGGGGTGTGTTTGGCAGCCCTTCCGGCAGGTGTGTGGGTGGCTGCTTAAGGTGTATGGGCTGAATCTTGAGGTTTATTGGCAGTTCTTTGAGTGTCTACTCAGCTCTTTGGTGTGAGTGCTGAGTGCCTCCTACGTGGGTTAGGTGTGCGCCTTTGTGCATATTTCTGAGCGTGTGTCCTGTGCTTTGTTCCGTTTGATTTATGCTTTGCTGTATGCGAGTGTCACCCCATTTTTGCGTTTCATTTTCTGCGTTGGCGTGTTTTTCAAATATTGACCGCAGGTGTACGTCGGGTTGGAGCGATATTTAGGCTCTCAGGGAGGCGGCGTGCGCATAACGCTCGATCGGTCGAAGCCGCTGGAGTCTTCCTTTGCGATCTCATCAGCAGCAGCAACTTGCAGCAGCAACTTGGGGAATATCGTTACTGTGCCGCCTGCTGTGCTGTGGCCGAAGCGGCTATGGACAGGCAAACAGGTGTGGACTCTAGGTTGCGTTTGGGCTTAGGGCTCAGGGTTTATGGTTTACCGATAACCCGTACAACTAAGAAAAAGTGTGGGCGCCATCAAGACAGAGCAGCGACAGTGGTGAAGAATCAAATGCTTCTCATTTGCTGCTTTAGGTTTTGTTGGGTTTTCTTTTTCCGCTCTTCAGGTCATAACAACAGTCCTAAAAACGCTTGTCGACGGCTTCGCTCGCAGCCGCCTCCGCCGCTGCGTTGCAGGCAGCAGCAGCAGCAAGAGAGTAGCAGAAGTATTGAAGGGGTATCGAGGAATCAATTTAGAGTCAAAGTCTAAAACGCCTGGAGATGCCTGGGGCGGTGCTGAAGACGGCGACAAGGAAGAAGCCTGTGTTATTATCCGGTAAGAGATTTTCATTTCACTCGCCTTGTTTTGCACTGTCTGTTTGCTTTACTGTTTCTTTCCTGCACTTTTGCCTTATTGTCTGCCCTTGGCGGCTTGTTCGTTTTGATCCTTCTGATATCTTGTTTGTTAGTTTTGTCTTCGCCAATGTGTTAGCAGTGTTGATTTTCATGTGTTTGCTTATCGCTCTATTTATCTCCGTATCTTTTATTCGTTTTATTCTCGCGTATATACTTGCCTGCTTCCTGTTTTTGTATATCTTCCTCCCTCGTAATATTTTTGCTGTATACTGGTTCAGGTGTACGCTGGTTACATCTTGCTGCCTTTTCTCTGTCTGCGGCAGTTAGCTCTCCGTTATGTTGTGCATATGCCCATCACCAGGAACACCTCAAAGGCTGTGACCATGTTACTGGTTGCTGTCGTTGTTGCAGCGACTCGGAATTGCTACAGGGTGTATTCGACAAGAATCAGTTTGGCAGCAGCAGCGGCGGTCTGTTGCATTGCGTCTATTTGCTGCTGGGGGGTCGTGCTGCTTCGATGCTATTGCAGTGTTTAAGCGCTTTATTTTCCTGCTTTCTGAAGATGCAGTAAGTGCTTGCCACGCATGGGTACACCCCGAGGTGTATACGTACACCTCAAGCATTGCACTCCACCGTGTATGCACCGTACAGGCGTTCTGCCGTGCACGCATACCACACACTTGTAGACGTCTCAATATTTACCATTTTGGCATTATTCAGTGTACCAGTATAGTGACGCCCATCTGAGCATATAGTGGAGGATTTTAGACTATCCTTAGTGTCAAGAAGCCTCTAGGCATTTATTGCTTCAGATGTGTAAACACCTTTTCTTTGTTGACGTATGGAGTGTGTAGGGTGTATGCGCACCTTACCGCAACAATTCCGTCGTTTATGAGTCGAGCATTTATCCTCCTTTTGACATGTGCTGCTGTTGCTGGTGGCTGTGCTGCTGCTGCTTCTACAGTGGTGCCACGACATCGCCTGCTGACTTTGTGCTGCGCACGGAGGGGATGCAGCAGCGAGAGGCGCTGATAAAGAAAGTAGTGGAGGCCGGGACCTTCTTGCAGGAACACTTCTTGTGGCGGCTGTCTTCACACTTGGGATGCCCACCAGACGAAGCTCATCAGCGTCTACAGCAGCGCGTGGCTGCTGCCAAAGCAACGCGAACAGCACCAGCAGCAGCAGCAACCTCCGCTGGTGGAGATGCTGGCGCTGCAGGGACAGGCACAGAGGGTGGGGCTGCAGCAGACTGGAAAGCAGAAGCAGCAGCAGCAGCTGCCGCTGCCTTTGAGTCAGGCGGTGGCGAGGCAGGGCTGCAGCGCAGAAAGCATGCGCTTCTGAAGATGGCAGCAGCAGCTGCTGCAACAGCAACTGCAGCAGCAGGAGGGTCAGAGGACGGATCAGAACCTGCAGCAGTAGATGCTGCAGCAGCAGCAGGCGTTCTGGCGGAAAAACTGTCTCTTGCACGTCTTGCTGACGCCGCTGCCGAACTGCTAGACGGCACACAACAGCAGAAGCAGAAACAGCAGCAGCCGCAGTTGAATCCGTGGCTGCTGCTGCGGCAAAAACAGCTGCCGCTTGCAGCTTCTGGCATACGGCCCACGGCTGCTGCTGCAGCGCAGCAGCTGCGGCAATTACTGCAGATGCTACAGCGCATGCAAGGGATGCCTCAGCAGCGGCGCGAGCTGCTGCTGTTGCTTAGCTCGTCCCCTCTGCTACAGGAACAGCTGCCACGAGTGGCAAAGCTGTTGCAGACGCAGAGGCTTCTGCCGCTTCACATGCAGCCTTCGAGCTGCAACAGTACCAGCAGCAAGACAGAAGGCGCCAATGACTGCATTTACGAGCAGCTGAAATTCCCTCCACCCAACGTTGTGGTGAGGGGACGAGCGCCAACAGCAACAGCAGTGTTGTGTGCAGGATACAGTTGTGTTTAGGGGAAGGGGTGTTTTGAAATTTCTACTTGCGCAAGCAGTTGCTGTTGCTGCGTGCTGTTGCTACCCCCTGTACTTCTGCAGGTGGCGCTACCTGACGGAGGCTCCATTGAAGGCAGCACACGGTACCTGCGGCCTCAGCTGTATCACCCTTCTTGGCTGTGGCAGCACCAGCAACAGCCACAAAGTGCAGCTGCTGCGTTCGCTTCTGGTTCATTCGAATCCCCAGAGCGCTACGTGCTGCAGAGTGCAGCAGCAGCAGCAGCAGCAACTGCAACCAAGCAACGCGTGCTGTTGTCGCCATCCATAGTCACGCAGGTATCTACAATATAGGATTTAGGGTTTTCAGTTTTGGGGTCAGTGGAGAGGGCGAAGCGTCCGCCCCCATTTACTTTTACTCCGTTGTCTACCCAAATGGTTTTGTTGGATGAGTGTGCTGTTATTTTGTTTGTATTGGTTCGCTCGTGTTTTATTGCTCATTTGATCCTGTTTACTGTGTGTTTTGTTGTTTTAATGCTTATTAGTTTGTTTTAGAGATTGCTTCGCTGCAATGTTTGTTTGGTTTTAGTACTCTGGTATGCTGTTTGAATGTTTGGTTGTTTTGTTTCAGTGTGTGTTTTGCTTGTTGTATGCTGTGCTTGAATTGTGTTTCTGTGTGTCTTTGTATGGTGACTGGTTGAGTGTCTCCACTTGCTGAGTTTCCAGTGTTTATTACTTTTATTCTGTCTTATGTGTGTATGCTTTGTTTTTGGTTTTGCTTTATGCTTCTTGTGGTCGTCTATTACTTTGTTTGTTTTGTTTTGCCCAATTTTCTGCCTCCCGATTTTCGTGTATTTCTTTTTACCGTTTTTGGCGGTTACAGGAGCGGCTCCGCGTGTTGCTACAGCGTCAGTTTAAGGGTAGATTGTCTGCCTTCGACGAGTTATTGGACAGCTTCTTCATGGGCTTCATGGGAAAGGTTTCTTCCCAGTCCACTGACATCATGAGTGGCAGGTACGCATCCCACAGCAGCAGCAGCAGCAGCGGCGGCGGCAGCAGCAAAAACCACCTGATGCCGTAACCACAGAGGAGCCCCACCTACTGTAGCAGTACGCGTACCAATAGCATCGACAGCAACCGGTGCAGCAGCAACATAGTGGCAAAAGAAGAGATGGCGGCAGGATCAGCGTAACGTTGGAAGTTCTAGTTAGCTCTTTGAAGAGACGGAGTTGGGTCCAGCCGCCCCCGCAGAAGGAACAGCTGCAGCAGCATCTGCTGTTCCCGCCGCTGGTGTTAGGTTGGCAGATGGTGCAGTAGCTCTGTTGCTGTTGGTGTTGCTGCTGGTGTTCTTGTTGTTGCTGCTGCTTAGGAGCTTTTTGTATCGCTTTCCTCGCAACGGCTTCGCATCTATGATTAAGACCGGAGCAAAAGGCAGCAATGTCAACTACGCAATGATTTGTGTTTTCCTTGGTATGCGCTTCGTCCCCCTTCCTCTCGCTTTTTGTTCCTTTTTCCGTTTGCATGCTTGACTTTAATTGCGTTCGTTGGTTTAGTGTTTCGTTTGCTTGTCTGTTGCTGGTTTGTCTGTTTGTGTATTCGTCTGTTTTGTTTGTTTGTTTTATTCTCTAGCTGCTTGCGTGTTAGCGCATTATTTGTTCAGCCGCTTGCCATCCTTGAGGACCTTTGTTTTTGGTCTGCTGTTTGGCTTCTCTGTTTTTTTTAATCCCTTCCTGTTGGCACCCATTTGGCTGTTGCAGGGTTTGGGACTTAGTGCGGTTAACGGCGTACTGTCTATGGTTTAGGTTTTGGGGTTTGGGTTTTGCTTTAGGGCAGCAGTCTTTGGAGGGCCGCCGCGTCCAGCCGATGAGCAGTGGAAAATCTCTTCCAGCGTTTGCGCCAGCCGACTTCGGCAGTTTGGCGCGCGGTTTTGTGTTGTCTTCTTTCCTGACAGGTAAGTCCTAAACCTTTAAATTTTTACTCTAGAGCATACGGCGGACCTGCTGCAAATTGAGGGTTAGAGCCTCGCGGTGCGGGGGCGAGCGGACTGAAAGCTTGCTTTTGCTGGTGATGCTGCCGTGGCTGGTGCTGCTACAGGGTTGCGCGAAGAGGAGTTTTACTTTCACTGCATGGCTGGGCGCGAAGGTTTGATTGACACGGCGGTGAAGACAGCAAAGTGCGGCTTCGATGCACTGCAGCACAAGAAGCAGAAGCAACAGCGGCATCAGCTTCAGTGTTACATTGCTGCGGTTGCTGCTGCTACAGTTTTGCGTTGTTATCAAGTCATCTTGTCCTGATCGGTTTTTGGTTTTGCATCCTGCTGTTGTTTGTTTGTTGATTTACTTGAAGTTGGTTTCTGGAGTATGATTGCTTTTCCCTATTTGTTTCATTTTCTGTCTATCTGTTTGGCCGTGCGTTTGGGCCGTGTGTTTGGTTGTCTCGTCCAGTGCATGCATTCATTCATTGCTTTTTATTATTTGTTCCTTAGTCTTTTGTTCGTGGTTTTGGCTGGTTATTATCTCGGATTGCTTATTGTCCTTCTGTGTGGTGTTGGGCTGTCTGCATTTGCCTACACGTTCCTTACGACCAACCATTGCCTACTTTTGTAGTCTATTTCTTGACGTAAGCGTTTCGTTTGTTTTGGTCGCTTTATTACTTTTTTTTTCCATTTTGGCCCAGTTGTGGGTATAAGTTTCTAATTGTTATTCCTGTTGTTGGCGCCATATTTCCTGTCTGTACTGTTTGCTTTTCAGCTGCTCCTCACTACATAGCAAATAATCCGATTGATCTATGCATGCATATCCAGTGTATATGGCTTTGGCGTTTAGGTCGGGTTACCTACAGCGTTCTTTAATCAAGTCGCTGGAGAGCCTTCACCTTGCCTATGACGGTTCCGTACGGGATGCGGATGGCTCCATTTTGCAATTTGTCTACGCGGACGATGCCAATGACCCAGCAAATGCCAACGCCCTCAAAAACATGCAGTCCGTACCCATATGTCAATTGCCTCTAAAGCTGTTTTAATCCATTTGACTAAGACTGTTTATGGCTTTTGTTTGCCGCTGTTTCCATGTGTTTGCTCCAGAATGTTCAAGGTCTTTTACTTGGGGCTGTTTTGGTAGCTTTCGTTATGCAGATTAAATGGATTTCTGGGGACCCCGTTCAGTTGGTGTCTTGGTGGCTGCCTTACTAGATTTGTTTAGGGCTCCTTTAGTTTATTCGTCTGGGGATCTTTTAGTTTGTTTGCTTGCGATTGTGTTGATCGATTTGTTTGGAGCAATTTTAATGGAATTGTTTCAAGACTCTGTTTTTGGTTTGGTTTGCTTGTGCACACTATTCGAGGGTTTTGTCCACAGGGGGTTGCCCGTTCATTTCTGTTGATTTACCGTTTTCATTCGATATGTGCTTCGATTTGTTTTCTTTATAGATGGCCGTTTTTATGTATTTCCTATCCTGTTAATTGTGTTATTGTTTGTGTCTCCGTAGCCCTGAAACTGTTTCGTTCTGTGTCTCCGTAACCGTGAAACGCATGGCATCCGGAGGTGTCTTCGTTCTCTGCTGTGTTACGACACCTCTGCAGACTGCTCACTGGGAATCCGTATTTGTTGAAGTGGTTCAACAAACCGCCTCCACAGGTTGAGCTCTCTGTACACCGCAACGTCTCCGCGTATTCGCGCTGCAAGTTCGGCTCGAAAAAGGAAGGACAGGCAACAGAAAAAGATAAAGAAAAGGATAGAGACAAACAAATGGAAAGATATCTCTCTGCAATGGAGGCACAACCCTTCAACTCCCCTCTCTCCGCTGTCGGCGCCACCAATTATCTTTTCGAGCAGAACCTCAAAGAAGTAATCAATGCGGGATATAGGATTTAGGGGTTAGGGTCTATAGGTTGTTATTTCTTTCTTTGGGCTTAAGGCCTAGGGTTTAGGGTTAATCAAGAGTAGCTTAATTCGCAACACCCAAATCCTGCAGTTTGCCGTGTAGTTGAGGAAGGGAATGCTGCAGAGAATGCTCGGTTTAGGGTCTAGGGTCACGGGCTTTTGAAGTTTTGGTGTTTTGTCAGGTGGTGGCATCAGCTTGCGAAGAATACGCTCGGACACGTCGGTGGCTTTCGTTTTCGTCTTCAAAGAAACAGCAGCAACAAGAGCAGCAGGACTACAGAGCGGGTTTGCCAGCAGAGGAACTGGAGCTCTTGTTGCGCATAGCTTTCCATAGAGGCTGCATGCAGCCTGGAGAGGCTGTAGGGGTTATAGCGGCGCAGTCTATTGGAGAGCCGGCTACCCAAATGACACTCAACACCTTCCACTTGGTCGGTCCAGCGCATAGAACTTTGGGTTTAGGGCTGAGGGTGTGGGATTGAGGGCTTTGAATTGGGCTTTAGAGGGATACCTTGGGTGTAATGTTTAGAATTGGGGATAATTTTGGATTTAAGCCCTGGGAAAACAGGGTTTATGACTCGAAGATAGTTTAGCCTGTAGAGTTTATGCGGTGATATAAACCCTACTGACTAAATCATCTTGAAGCCCCAAACCCTCAGTCTGGTGGGTTTGTGTAGGATGTCGACTCTGTGCTGGGAAAATCTCCCTCTCGGCGTTCAGGGTTCAGGGTTTAGGTTTTAGGGTTTAGGGTGTTTGTGCAGGCTGGCCACGGAGCAGCGAACGTGACAATGGGAATTCCGCGTTTGCGGGAGCTTCTTCAGTTGGGTGCAAAGACGAAGACGCCTCAAATTATTATTCCAATCAAGAGAGGAGGAGATGCCTTAGGCGACAGGGTCAAAGACAGAATTGCACTCGAGAACGCACACGCTGCCTTAAGGGGATTCAAAACCATTCGAATGGAGGATTTTGTCCATGCCGTTGGCGTCGAGGCAAACGTCTACTACCAAGTAGGGTGTAGGGTTTGGGGCTGTTGTTCTGCGTGTGCGTATAAGGGGCTGTTTTCGATTCCCATCACCTGAAGCTAGCTAGATAGTTAGCTAGAGAGCGAGCAAGCTCCTTTCATCTAGGTGGGTGAGTTGACTAGCAAAGTGTTTCACCTGGTTTTGCACGTGTTTGCTGTGAGTGCGCGTGCAGGGCCCAGACTCAGTCAACAGCTTCCCGGAGGCGAGGCCAGTCGGCAGCCGCTCGGCATTCAGCTCGCGGCTGTATTGGGAGTACGAGGTGTCTGTACAGCTGGAACCGCTGCAGCACTTTTGCAGCGTTGTGAGGCAGTTTAAGCCTGACGACCTCCTTCTCCTTGTCCTCAACAAAGTCATCAGACCTCTTCTCAAAAAGGTAAGCTCTAGGGCTTAGGCTTTTCCGGAGTTTGGGGTCGGAGAGTTGTGGTTACGGCCTTATGTATACGCTTTGCGGCTTGGGCACTCGCAGATGCAGGGGACCGTCAAGGGTCAGCAGGGCCAAGGGTGCAGGATTTGGGTCGAGAGGAACCGTTGGCGCAAGTGTGGGCTCAGCATTTAGGGTTTTCGTGCAGGCGAGAAAGATGGCAGTGGCGTCTGTGTCTCAGTATGAGTTCTCTGAGGCTGCTGAGCTGCAAAGCGATGTGCAGCAGCTTTACAGAGCTTTCATCCTGAAGGAACGTCTGAAGTCGCAATGGTCCGTGAGGGTCTATGCTTTCGGGTTTAGGGGTTAGCGTAGGCATTGTATGTACACCGGGGAATCTTCGGTTCATATAAGTTGACGTAGAAAGTATGTAAGCCTAAAAGTACAAGTGTGGAAGTCTTGGCATGAAGAGCCGAACTTAAAACTGCATCTTAGACGGAGACATGGGATGCCGCGCATGTTTTAGGGCTTAGGGCTTGAGGCGTAGATATAGTGGCATGAATTCGTAGACAACCCCACCTCATATCGATTGGGATTTATGCTTCCATAGTTGAGGAAAACGCAGGAGCAGCATTGGCACGGTAGCTGTAGTAAAGAGCAACAGTAAGTGTGTTTTATCTCAGGGAGCGAAGAGGAGCGGTTAAGGACATTTTGCGGTCGGGAAATATTGCATGCGAGAGTGGGGCTGGCGATGCAGCTTTGGAAGGAGAGGCAACTTCCAGCAAAACCCAAAACACATCAGCAGCCACAAATAGGGGTCATGCAGCTGCAGCAGAAGAGGACACAAAGGCGGCGGAAGACCACGACGAGGGCGGGAACAACAAACAGAAACAGAGGCGCAAGAAGAATGAAGAACAAGAGGAAGAAGGCAAGCCCGCAGCCAAACGTGAACGCCCTTACTATTAGAACATCTAAGTATTTTCGACGCTGCACAGCGCAGCCGCGCTCAGCCGTAAGTACAACCACTAAACCCGAAATTAGACTTTTTGCAGCAGCAGCAACAAATGCTTCTGTGCCTTTTGTTGCAGAGGGATCTGTGAATTCGGCGGATAGCGGCCATGAAGAAGACGAGGATGACGACGAAGAAGATGAAGAACAAGAAGAGGCAGACGAAGAAGATGATGACGACGAGCGACAGCAGCAGCAGCAGCAGCAGGGGGATAGTTCTGCTTCTGACACTGAGGGCAGCAGCAGAGGGTCTGAAGCAGAAGATGATGATGATAATAACAATGTTAATAGTAGTACCACTGAGAAGAAGGAGAAGAAGGAAAAAGGTGTTAAAGGCGTCAAACGCGAGCCTAGTGCAGAAATAGAGGACCCGCAACCCCCAGAAAAACGCATAAAACAAGAGCAACAGCAACAGCAGCAGGGGGGGGAGGAGCGCTTGTTGGACTTGGCTGAGGTGTTACGTGGAAAGCGCTTCGACAGGACTCTGGGGGTTTTTGTAGAAGAAGAGAAGCCAGCAAGTGAAAGTAAAGACAAGAGCTTATTGCAAGCAGACACGTATTCAAGGCCCCAACTTGCCCCGTCGCCGTTTGAGCCAGATGCAGTTTGGAGTTCCCCAGCAGCCTTCAACAAAATGGCGCCACTCGATCTCGAGTGTAAGCACTAAAACTTAGGCCATAAACCCTACGTTACTAAGCGAGGTTACGCCAAAAGCTGTGTAGTTCACAACATACATTGTGCACTACTGAGGGGAAAGAGGCACACGAAAGCACTATGAGGTTTAAGGTCATGGGTTTAGGGTTTAGTGTTTGGTTGCAGCGGCGGCAATATTGCACGATTTAAAGATCTGTCGCAAGACTTGGAGAGTTGTTGTGAAGTTCGGATGGCCAGTCGACAAATGCCCATAGTCAGGCTGCAAACACTAAACCCTAAACTCTATTCTAGACAGGAAACCCTACACGTTGGCCCCTAAACGCTGAACCATAAAGCTGGAGCCTCCACAGTTGAAACAGATGACAGCCTAGAAAGTGCATTGGTCACCCTACGGCCAGGTTGAGGGCTGAGGGTTTGGCATGTGTGCGTGCCTGCAGCCGAATAGAGCTGCTACCTCTGGTGAAGGGTTTAGTCGAAAAAGTGACTCTTCAGCAACCGCAGGGTGTTTCAAACCCTCGCATTGTACAGGTACAAGAAGCTGAAGGTTTAGGGTAGGGGGAGCAGGCCCTACATGCGTGAATTAATATGATGGGTGTATGATTAGGGGTTTATTGTTTACACAATTTTTTCTGTGCCCATGCTGGCTCGTTCCGCTTGCGTATATGCAAGGACGGCCTTTGGCTTGCGTGCGTGCATGCAGGGCGCGGGATGTACAACTGGGAGCCCCATGGAGTTGCACTGCAGCGGTTCGAATTTGCAGTGGTTGCACCGACTTAAAGAAACTGCTGTTGATCACAACAGGTAAGCTTTGTTTGTGCTGTTTTGCTTGCTTTGTTTACTTCGTCCTTACGATTGTCTATTTTGTTTGTCTGATGCCTATGATGTTAGTCGTTTCTGTCTTTTGTTTGCTTTGCTGGCTTGTTTTGTCTTAGTTTTTGTTCCTTTTTTCTGTTGTTTGGCATGTTCGATTGCTTCTTGACTATTGTCTTCCTTTGTAAGCAATAACGATGTATGCAGGCGTGTGTGTTTTCTGTTTGCTGATTTCCGTCTTCATTCCGTCCATTTTTTCCTGTTCCATCGTGGTGCCGTCTGTTTCTTCTTGATTTATTATGTACATCGGAATCCCTTCGTTTTCTGTTCGTGCTTCTTTGTTCCTTCGTTTTGTTTGTTTTTCGTTCCTTCTCTCATTGTTCGTTTTGCTATCCTTGTGCTGCTTTTTGATAGCAACAAACTCTCTACGCTAAACCGTAAATAAACTCTAAGGCCTTAGCCCTTGTTTTGCTGCAGGCTGCAGACTAACGACGTGCTGGCTGTCTTAAAGTTCTACGGCATCGAGGCTGCTCGTGCATTGTTTCTGAGGGAGCTTTCTGCTGTCTTCGGAGCATACGGCATCCAAGTCCACAGCGCACATCTTGGCCTCGTGGCAGACTTCGTCACTAGAGACGGAAATATTATCCCCTTTAACAGGTCCCACATCCTAGCCCTGAACCCCAAATGCTAAATTATAAACCTTGTAGTTCAGTCATCTAGTGTCTAGCCCCCATATAAAACCTATCCCTGAATAACACTCTTCCCCTTCAGCACCCAGCACCAACACTAAACAACATTCTTTAACATTATAAACCATAGACCCTGAACTCTAGGACACACGCTCCCATGAACAGGCCTAAAACCCTAATACCCGAATGCCATTAGCAGCTTTCATCCTTTGTAAGTAGTCACCCGATTTCCAAGCAGTACACCCTACGCTGGCGTGTATTCCCAAACCCTAAACCCGAAGCCCTCGTCGCCTGTGCATGCCTGCGCTATGCGTCGTCTTTAGGCTGGGAATCCAAAATTCCAATTCCCCTTTCTTGCAAATGGCCTTCGAAACTTCATTCAAATTCCTTACAGAGGCATGCGAAAGAGCGGCCGTCGGTAAGATTATTGGCTATATAGCTACTTACCTACCTACCTAGCTAGCTAGCTAGAGCAGGAATGCGGCTATCCTCAGCTCACCAGCTACGCGAAGTCGATTCCGGCCAGTGTCAACTGCTGAAGCTTTGTTGCTTTTAGTCTTTGTCTGTCCATTCGTGACTATTTATTTGCTGGTATTGATTTTGTTATTATTGTGTGTTTGTCTTTTGTGTTCAACTCACGTGTTTTGCAGATGACCTGCAAAGCCCCTCAGCAGCACTGATTGTTGGCAGCCCAGCGACAATCGGCTCGCAGCAGTCGCAGCTCCTGGCGGTCCTGCCAGACTTTACAGATAGCTAGCTGGGTAGTTAGCTAGATAACCAGCTAGGTGGTCGGCAGGGACCTTGCTTGCGTCCCTGCGGAAGTAACTAGCGGGCTACTTCGCTGGCTGCCCAGCTGGCTGCGCTCGCGCATACCTACCGAACTGGTCTGTAAGCAGCATGCATCCGGAGCACGAAGTTAGGGAGATAAGGCAACCCTCATTTGAGATAGAGACAAAAACAAACGCAACAGAAGGAAACAGCAGAGACACTAATCTGTTGAGCTGCTGTTCTTTCTACAACGACTTGAAAAAACCAGCTTGCGTTCAGCCCGTTGGGACAGCTTGGTGGCCACCAGCTAGCCACCAACCACTTTGCGAGCTATCGGGCCGCTACCAGGTAGCTAGAGAGCTCTTCGGTAATCACCAGCTAGCTAGCAAGCTCCTTGGCACATGCTGGCTAGCGAGCTCTTAGGCAATCCCCAGCTAGCTAGCAAGCACATAGGTACCTACCAGCTATTTATCGAGCACTTAGACAGGCACCCGCTGGCCGTTAGCCGGCCACCAGCCAGCTACTAGCTAGCTGCGTACTTGTTTGGTGTTTAGCGAGCAGCAGCAAGTCGATGCGGTAGACGCCAACTTGGTGTTCCACAAGGAGCTGCCAGTGAGGAAATCTCTCCTGCTGTTGCTGCTGCTGCCGCCGCTGCTTCGCTAGAGTTGAAGCCAAAGTAGCAGACACCTGGACGTGCATTTCGGAGGTCTCTTCATCTGTGGCTCTGATATCACAAACGTCATTTTGCTGCTGCACAAACTGCTGCTCTTGCCGATCCTCCCGCTGCTGCTCATGCGGCTCCTGCTGATGCGTAGCCACCAAGGAGGGTTTGCAAACAGCCTCTGTGATCCGGACGATTTGCAGCGCCAGCCGAAGAAGCTGAATGGGTACCGTTGCAGCAACAGCAGCAGCAGCATGCGCATGCCACCAACAAGCAACCCCCAGAAGCAGCTGGCGTGCTGCAGCTTTGCTGCTGTCCCTTGGTGTATCCTGCTGCTGGTGTTGCTGCTGCTGCCGCTGCAGCAAGAACACGATAGGCGTCAGGAACCGTATATCTGCTGCTGCTGCTGCTGCGGTGTAGCAGTGTCTTGACACATGGATAGAGGCTGCTCCCCAGGATAGAACAAGGAGCGCTAGACTTTGCATGCCGGCACAACGCTGGTGCTGCTGTTGCTGGGTCCGCTGTTGTTGCTGCTGCAGTATCTGCTGCTGCTGCTGCAGCATGGGCCCAGCACGAGAAAACAGCAGCAACTGAAGAATGTGTGGGTTGCTACTGTTAACAGACAGGCGCACCAGTGCAGCAGCTATAACTGACGTATTCCCCAGGGCTGCCGTTAGTCTCGAAGTTGCAGCAGCAGCAGTTGCTGCTGCTTTCAGGTCAAAATCTGCAGCTGCTATGGCTGCACGAATGACTGCCAGCGTTTCGCTGCAACACAAAGAAAAACGCTAGACCCTTAATCACCCTGTTCCATATCATTAGGAGTTGCTGTTATTCGACGAGTGCTTCGCAAGTTAAGGCTTTGCATGAGGTTGGATTTTAGGGCAAAAAAAAAGAGTTTAGCATTTTAGGTGGTGTTAGCGTTCATGGTACAGGACTCCACTATAGTGTTTATGGCTTAGCCTTTAGGGTTTTAGCGTGTAGGGTTCTTACTGATGTTGAAGAGGATTCTGTGACTTTGCAAAGAAACTCAAAGCAGAAGCAACAGCTGAAAGGGTCGGCGGTTTGCTGCTGTGAAATGCAACTCTCCAGGCCCTGCGCGCACCCCCGAACACCAAACCCTAAACCCTAAACCTCTACCCTATTAATTCCAAAGCCGAAAAGGACAACTCGGCACTCACGGCTGCGCCTAACAACAGCCAAACGCACCACCGAGGGTTTACCGTTTACCATTCGGTTATATTCGGCGCATCAAGCTGCAGCATGAAGCAGCCTTGGAGAAACCTGCATGCTGCATCTGCGTCCCACTCTGCCTGAACGTGTGCTGCCGCCGCTGCTGGTGGTTGCCATTCCTCAGGCAAATGAGCAGCAGCGGCAGCAACAGCACTTGGGGCTGTTCCAGTTGCCGCCGCAGCAGCAGCAAAAGCGAGTCGAGTCCCCGCCTCCCGCCATATTGTACTTGCCGCATTACCGTTCCCTACAGCAGTAGCAGCAGAATTTGTTCTGCCGCTGCCGTTTCCAGCGAAGTGCGCCACTGCACAGAGGAGTTTGGTTATGTTTTGGGGAGAATAATTTGCTGCAGCAGCAGCAGCAGCAGAGACGAGGTCTCTTAGGAGAGGCGCATGCAGCAGCTGCAGGGCCGCCATAGCTGCAGCTGCTTCAGCTGCATCACGAGGCAGCAGCATCTTCTTTTGTTGCAGCAGCACCAGCTGACAGCATAGAGCCTCAAAGGCCCCCGCCGTGCAGCAGCCTGCATGCGCCAAAGCCCCAAGAATTCCGCATACTTGTTGAGCAGCAAAACCAGGCAGTGGCTCTGCTGCTGCTGCTGCTGCTGCGATTGCTGCGCGGGCCTCCAGCTCGTTGCAGAAGCGCAGCAGGAGCGCTCGCACCTGCTGCTGTGGAAGGCAGCAGGTGCTGCTGCTGTAGGCTAAAGCAGCAGCAGCGAAGCACTGGGCTTTGAACGACGGCAGAAGTTGCAGCAGCAGCGGCGAAGCAGCAGCAAATAGCAGTGGGGACGGCTGTTGTAGTCGGGCGAAGGAATGCAGCACAAGGGTCAGCCCCTGTGAGGTGTACAGACGCCCGAACTCTCGAACATGGCGTTCGATTGCATGCAGAAGCTGGTGGAAATGCTGCTGCTGCTGCAGCAAACCAACCTGCTGCTGCTGCTGGGTAAATTTGGGGGCTGCATTTGCTACAAGGGCCACCTCAAGTGCAGTCAGTCCTCCAGCCAGGATGTGAGCACGCAGCACATCACTTAGCAGCAACAGCAGCACCAGCAGCTGCTGCTGCTGCACCGAGCTTTGCAGCTCCGCCATTGCAGCCCATATGTTTGCAGCGCTGCGGCCATCCAGTGCATGCTGCTGTTGCTGCTTCTGCTGCACCTGCTGCTCCATTTGCTTTTTTTGCTCCCGCTGCTGCTGCCCTTCGTGGTGTCTTGGGTACTGGAGCACCTGCTGCAGCAGCAGCTGTCGCAACCGCTGCAGCATGCGCTGCAGCAGCATCCCCGGGTGTATGTGCAGCTTCGCAAGTGCAGAAAACAGCATCGAGAGGTCGCACCCGCTGCTGCTGGCAATGATGGAAGGCCACACACCACCACTGTTGCTGCTGCTGCTGTCCAGCACCTGAATGAAGTGCAGAGCGGCTTCGCGCATTCTCAGGTTGCCCAGGGCGTTGAAATGGACACAGACGTGCCGCGGATGCAGCCTTGCTGCTTCCGCTGCTGCCGCCTCTGCTGCCATTGCTGCGCTTGCTGCAGCACCTCCCCCTGCCCTTACCCCGCTGGAGTGAGCAGCCGCAGCGCTAGCACCATTCGCTGCAGCTGCCGCCGTAGCAGCAGCTGCTGCTGCTACTGCAAATCTTTCATTGAGAGCAGCAAAGAGACGGGGATGAGGCCTCCCTGCAGCAGCAAACGCATTAGAGATTGTGCTGCAGTGCTCCGGCTGCAATTGCGACAAAAGGGATCCACCGCTGTTGCTCTTGCTGCTGCAGTTTGCGTTGCAGCGGGAAGGTGGAGCCTGCAGCAGTAGCTGCTGCTGCTGTTGCTGCTGTATCTGTTGAGGTTTGCCGAGGTGGCTGATGTATGTGTGTTCAAGAGCAGCTGCCGCTGTTGCAGCAGCAGGCTGCTCCTCCCTCAAGAGCGTCTCTGCAGCAGCAAGCCAGAAATGCTGCGGCAGCCTTCTCCGGTGTCTCCCCAGCTGCTGCAGAGAAACGCCGATCTGATGCGGTGGCAAAAACGGGAGAGCGCGCAGCAGTTGGCGTGGCTGCAGCACAGCAGCAGCAGCTGCGGCTGCAGCAGCAGCTGCTGTCGTACAAGAGCCAGCAACAGCAGCAGCAGGCGGCCTGTCGATCTTGGGCAATCCTCCCTTCTTAACAGAACCGAAGGGATGCCGGAGATTGTTGCAACTCTCGTCGTTGCTGCAGCATGTTTCGCTGGTGTTGCTGCCGCTAAAGTGATGAGTAGTGAAGGGGGCAAGAGTCCGCCTAAACCTCAAGTCTCGGCTAAACATGAGAAGGAATTTCTGAAATCGTAAACCCTTAACCATAAACCCCCGGAGGAATGCTTTCTTCGCGCTCGTAAGGCGAGGGTTTAGGGTTTAGGGTTTCTCGTTAGCCCCTCTGCATGCCTTGAAGGAGCAGGCGATTCGCCTGAAATAAGTCTGCCTGTTTTCCTTCTTAGAAAATGTATTTCGGATTGTGGAAATGCTCAGCATCTGCTCTTAGGTGTAGGTCTACGTCGAAGCCTAAACGCTGAACCGTAAACCCCCATTGGCTGTTCCTGGGGCCCCACCTCGCGTTCTCGGGGTCACCTGGTGGGTATTTGTGCGGAAGGGAAATTTGCATCTAGTTTTGGGGTTTAACTGTGTTTGAAATGTAGTAAATAATACGGTATTTATATAAGAAGAGACAAGCTAGCAGATGAAGCACTGTGGGCAGCGGCAAAACCCTTGCGTGTCGAGGGTTTGAATTACCTAAGTCTTATGGAGGGTTATTCATAGTTTATGGTTTAGAAGAGGGTGTTTGGTGGGTGTGCTTGAATCTGCATTTTCTTTGAGCATCAAGCTTCTTCCCACGCGTCGAGATTGTATGGTGTTTCTTGTTTCCTCAAAGTTCCCGGTCCGGGGATCTGTTGTTTAGGGTTTAGAGATTGCCGACATGGGGTTTGGCGACGGGGAGGGGGCCGCTCGGCGTACGCTGGGGATGCGGGAGGAGGAGAGCGGGCCTCCCGGCGATTGGGGAGAGGGAGCGAAGAGCTTTGCAACGGACACCGCAGGAAAGCCTGCTTTTGCATTGAAGACAGCTCACCAAGAAAGGACTTATGCGATGTTTAGAGAGCACGACGGTTTAATAGGAGCGGATAGTTTTCAGATAAGTGCTTTCCATGCGGGTTTGTTTGTTTTGTTGGCGGTGGTGCTTGCGACGTACGCAAATGTCTTCGTTTCGTTTGCATTATTCAAGAATCAAGTTTCCGTTGCACAAGATGAGGTGTATGCCGAGCTCTTAGGAATGAGGAATATAACGGTTACTCTTCATCGACTCCAGATGCTATCTCAAAATACTTTAGACTATGAAGCACGCAGCCTATACACCCCAAGCATGCTGGTTCCTGCGTATCATAGGCGCGTTGTTTCCGCTGTTTTCCACATAAATACCCGCCTTATAATGGGTTTAGAATATATACGAAGCTACGATCAGGATATTAGGACAGCTACAAGCTGTATTACGCACACACAAGACCCCAAGCAGCAGCGACTCTCCAATTGCGCCATAGAGCAGCTGGCCGCAAACTTGCATTCCATTTCTCCTAAGCACGAAGAAGCCCTTCTCCAGGCTCTCCTAAAAACGAAACTTCCTTTAGCAGAAACCCTTGACAGCAAAATGCTCGAGCTCTATCCGTCTTCATGGGTAGCCGTCACCGAACCTGCACAGTTTATCCACCGTCTTACAACCCAAGGCGCGTTTAAGGAAATACTTCTCCTCAGTAACGAATATGTTGACAAACTCCAACAGATTCTAAGAGATTTACATGCTAAGGACATCTGGATGCCAACCATCATTACCACTGCCGTTTTTGGAGGAGCTGCTCTCTGTCTCCTTATAATCTTCGCCATTGTTATTGGCATCAAGTCCCGTGCGGCAAACCCTAGACACTACGCATCACAACAAACCCTACTTGCACGCTAACAAAACAGACCCTACCTTCAAAGAGGCAATCACTCGAGCGAATTAGTCAGCTTTGTCTTCTACGGTCTAAGGTTTATGGACGATGGTCTATGGTTTAGGCCTCAAAGAGATTAAAACATCCCGCATTGGAGGCGACGGCCTTGGGCTTACGGGTTGCAGCTTGGGGTTTAGGGTTTAGATGTTGGGCACATACAAGAATAATCGCTCATAATCGGATTTTCACAGCAAAACGGGCCGGTGCACCGCTCTCTGCAAGTGGGGGGTTTAGGGCTTAGTGCTTAGGGTTTGTTTGTGATGCGTTATTAGAGCGAATATACGAGGCTTCTTCTGTATGCCAGTCTGCGGTGTTCTCTTCTGGGAAAAGTATTCAAAGCAAGATGAAGGATTTGTCTGTCTTCTTCGTCGCATACTTAGAGAGTTTGCTGCTGCCACAAGTCAGAGGTTTTGGCGGGCTTGCTGCCTTGCTGCTCGGCTCCAACAGACTCACAGGATACCAACATAAGCTGCTCAAGTTGCAGGAAAAAGCAGCAATCGACATCCTCACAACAGCCATCAACCTCATTATCTACATTGAAACGGAAGTCCTAGTCAAAAATGTAATCAATTTGGGATTTATGATTTACGGACTAGTGTTAGGGTTGATGATCACGATGAAGATGACCACAATGACAGTTCTGCTGATAATGACGATGCCGCTGCTGCCAGTGCTGCTAAGGCTGCTGTTGCTGCTCATGCTACTGATGATGAAATGATGATGATGACAACTATGACGATGATTGCGTCCTCCTGATGCTGGCGCAACTTCCCTTGCTCCTCTTGCTGCGTCTGCTGTTGCAGCATTTGTTGTTGTTGCTGTTGCTGCTGCTGCTTCTACTGCTGCAGGAAGAAGGTTCTTCAGTTGACCTGCGAGCAGCAGTGGAGCGCAGTATCGAACTCTTTCGGCCGAAGGCAGCAGCAAACAAGATTCCCATTAGCTGCACATTTGCAAACGGCTGTCCTTCGATGGCTCTCATTGACCAAGATAAACTCTCCACCACCCTAACCAGAGTCCGCCCCGAGGGTTTAGGGTCTGGGGTTTACGGTTTATGGTGAAAGTTTCGGTTGGTGGAATTTGCTGTTTCACTGCACCGGCGTCAGCTACGAGCTGAGGGATGGTTCAGGCTTTAGAGTTTGGGGTTTATGGATTGGGATGGATGATAACACATCTGAGCTTTTATTATGGTTTAGGGATTAGGGTTGGCGTGCAGACGCTGGCCTACGTGATTGACCATTCGGTGGAGAAGGGAATGGGCATCGACGTTTATGTGAATGCAAACACATCGAGCCAGAGACAGTCAAAAGAGGCGAAAGATCCTTCAGGCCTGCAAATGTATGATGTCCGCTTCGAGGTAAATTCAAACCCTAAAGGGGCTAACTGGCGAGGAGTTCACGGACCTGAAACTCCTAACCCTAGACCATAAACCCTATTTTGATGTCTGGCGATGCAGGTTAAAGGTCGCGGAGTTTGCATGGAAAATACAAAAGCCCAAATGATGGTCCAAACCAAAGGCCTCATTGACAGGTGCAGTCCGGGTTCAAGGGTTACAGTGTAGTATCCAGGGTTTTGGTTTGCCTGTGAGTCTATTTACTTGCCTGTGTGCATACTACTCAGCTACAGTTTAGGGATTTTGGCTCAGAGTTCTTGGCTATTGCCCCGCGGATGTCTGGTTGTTAGCATTTCTCTCTCTGTATTCTTTTAATAAGCTTTGGTAGTTTGCCGCAGCAACGGCGGCTGTTGAACTGGTGGTTGAGAGTTCAGGATTTAGAAGACCAGCTTATTAGCACCTCAGGAACATTAGAACTGCCCAAGCGTGTAGTGGCAGCAGAGCAATTAAGACACCTTTAGCTGTCCCTATAAATGTTCTTAGTGTACTTGTTTATATCCCTTGGTTCAATATGGTTTAGCGTGGTTTAGTGCTGTAGTAGGGTTTGTGTCTGGTTGGTTGCAGAGGAGGCCAGGGTTTGAGGCTGCTGACCTGCAGCCGTATAGCTCAATCTCTCGGGGGTTTTATGCAGCTGCAGTCTTCTCCATCTCGAGGCACATTTATTTCTTTTATTTTTAGACGACGAGGTCGCTTTAGTTTACAAGATGTTGATGATCGTTTTAGTGCACTGGGGGAACTTAGTGCGAAGGTTCTAACGCTTTCTCTCTCCCTTGAATCCAAACAATTCTTTACTTTCCTCTGCAAAGACATCGGCATCACCTGCACCAACTGCTTCTGCCTAAGGCAGCTCGTGGAAGAACTCAAACAAGTGCCACGCAAACCACAAATTAGGGCTGAGGGCTTTGGGTCTAGTGTTTAGCGTTTGCGGTCTACGATTTACGGATTAGTGTCCAGATGATACTTTAACTGCAGGAGAGTATGCTAGTGCAGTGAGGGAAACAATGCCACATGATCTACGATATGCTATGCCCTATGATTTGGGGTTTAGGCATAGAATCAAGGACCCAGAGTTCAATACCATAGGGGGAGGCATTGGGGATTAGGGTTTAGAACATTGGAAATCATGTTTCCCTAGAACGACCTTGGGAATAACCATGAGGATCTAGGGTCTAGGTCTTACCATTCTGTACGGCTTTTACTTTAGTATTTTGGATTCAGGTCTTAGGGTTGAGGGTTTAGGATTAAACGTTTAAGGTTAGGGTTTGCGGTGCAGGACGATCCTGACTGTCCGGTGCTGGCGGTGTTTCTGGGGGATTCGGTAAAGAGCAGCGCCAACCCTTCAGACAGAAATTCGCGCGCTTTATCTCCGCGAGAGGTGTTTGCAAAGCTCCTGCTGCATGCAGCTGAGAACAACAAAGGGGTTAAATTTGCTTTTGTCTCGTCGGGCTCTCGCCACCAAACCTCCTCAGACACCGCAGAAACCCGGATAAGCAGAGTCCCCACTACGCCTTCGAAAAGCATTCGGGCTAGTACTCTGGTGCAACAAGTTATTTACAGACAGTGGGGCACAGGCTTTAGGGTTAGGGTCTAGGGTTCAGCGGTTGGGATTGAAATTCACGTAGGCATGTGCTTGGTTCCCTACACCTGATTAGCGGCGTGCAACGAGCCACTAGGGTTTAGGGTTTAGCGTTTGTCCGTCAGACTGGAGTTGCCTCTGAAAACCAGTGATGTCATCGACGTCATCGTCTTGGCCATGCAGGAAAGAATGCAGCAGAAAGAAGAAAGGTTAGATGCATGGTTTGGGTTGTAGTGTTAAGGGTTTAGGGGTTAGGGTGTCAGACGAGAAAACAGATTAAAACATGCATGTTTAGGTTTAATATGGATGCTCTTTACAAGCAACAATGAAGGTTTAGTGTTTACGGTTTAGGGTTTGCGTGAAGGGCGCGTGCAAAGAGCAAGCTGAAGGTTTCCTACATGATGGACGTACAGAAGGACTCGGACGATTATTCAGAGTCGTTCTCGGAGGAGGACCTTCCTCAGCAGCAGCAGCAGCAACAAGAGCAGCAGCAGCAGGAGCGGCTGCGGAGTCCTTCAGTTAAAGGGCCTAGTGGAAGGAACCGCAGCACCTTAGGAGGCAACCTGGCTCAAGAGACCCCCAAGGGGAGAGGCTCGCGAGTGACTCAGGCCTTTCCTCAAGCGAATATCAAGCTGGATGCTCCATCAAACGAAGAATCCAGCGACAGTGAGGGTTTAGAGGTTAGGGTTTGGGGGAGCACAGGGCGTCATTGTGCATCTCTACGCGCCTCCTGTATATACGCAGCCGTATGCGCATCTCGGGAGAGAATATTTGGGGAGTCACGTTTAGTTTTAGGGTTTGGGGTCTATGGATTAGGGTTTGTGTGCAGGCGAGAGCGAAAGCGAGTCAGTAGAGCTGAACGATTTGGAAGACGAATATATGGACAAGGCTTTCTGTGCTCGAGACACAATTCCAGAGAGCCTTCGGGGAGATGTTAATGCAGTTGTTGATATTATCAATGAGACGGGACTCTGCAGGCCAGCTCACGAGCTCGTCGACGCACTTCTCGAGGTAACCGAACGTTTACGGCTTAGCGTCTAGGATTTAGGGTTTAGCGCTTAGGCTTGATGGTTGGTAGTTGAGGGCTTACTGCTTAGATTTTAGCGTGTCGGTTGGGGGTTTCTGGGTTGGCAAGGCACGGGGTCTCGCTGGAAGCGCGAGCGTCGCACCGACGCCCAAAATGCCTTCCGCGCCAGGGTTGAACATTTATGGTTTAATATGGCTTAGGGCCTACGAATGTGTACCTGGTATTTAGCGGCGTGTATACTAAGGGTTTGGAGATTAGGTTTTCGTCTCGCTGATTCCCCAGTCAAGGTTTTGCTTGTAGTACTTCATCCTTAGTGTTTACGGCTTAGTGTTAAGGGTTTAGGGCTTTGCAGCGGGTGCGTGAGCGGCCTCTGTCTGCGTCTCGGCGGCTAGCGAGTTTGGTGGATGTGAGTTTGGAGTTGGAAGAATATTACCGAGAAATGCCGGGCCAGCGCCTCATAGAGAAGGAATTGCAAGAAGCTCGCAGCAATTCAGCAGGAGAAATAGACAGCGAGCAAGCCAAACCCTAAGCTCTCAACACCATCAACGAAAGCTGAAGTCCTAAAGCCTACTTCTTCGCACGTGCGAAGTGTTGGCTGTAACACGTGTGCCTACACCGTAATCCTTAAGCCATCAAGCATGTGGTGCAGAGAACAAGAAGAAGGAGAAGAAGACAAAGAGTCAACCGAAGATGCAAACGGAACAACGGAAGCAAAAACGAAACAACCGCCCCTTGCCTACACACAATCAGCGCCGCCGCCAAAGCAACGTAAGCGCTAAGCCTAAAGCCATAAAAGCCTAAAAACGAAGCACACAATCTTCCTCGAGTTTAGCATCCACCGGTCAGTTTTGGAAAAGCAAACCCGTTGTCGTATCCTTCACATCAAAGTATGGCAGCATAGGTTTTAGGGTTTAGTATTTGGTTTTTAGGGTTTAGTGTTTGGGGTTGAGGGTTGAGGTTTTGAACCCAGGTAGGGACCCTATTTGGTGGATGGGCTCAACGGCTTCTCTTAAAGTGCGAATTCCGCCAAACCACGTTATCCAGGTCCAGTCGAAACCCTAAAACTATAAACCCAGGCACAAAAGCCTATTGATACACGGAGTAGGCCAGTTCTTGGCAGAAGTGGGTGGTTTGTGATTTGAGAGGTCTGCGAGAGAGCGTTTAGCTTCCCCAACTGCTTCCGAATCTCGGCTACGGATTTAAGGTTTAGGATTTTGGTTTTGGCGCAGTCTCAGTTTAATCTCGCTTCAGTGTCTTCCTTCGATGTCAAAGCGTACACAATGCACGATCTGCTAGACTGGGATTTCCACGTGTTGGCCCTTCCAGAACCCGAGGCCGTCCGCCTCTGCAGGTAAACCCCAAACCAACAACCATCACCGCTAAACACCAAAGTCCGGAGGCACCTGTTTTTTGACTTGGGCTGCGTAGCAGCGGCTGGATTAGTCTTCTACGTGCCCTCGCCCTGGATGCAGAATTCAGGATGCAGTGGTTAGGGGTTTAGGGCTTAAGGTTCTAGGGTTTAAGGTTTGCGGGCAAGGGACTTACTGGTGTACTACGCGGACCGAGCTGCGCTGGGGATTCGAGGAGAAGTAATAATGAATTTTTGTGGGGCTTTGCATGCGAATTATCTGCCTAACCCCTACCACAACTTCTACCACGCCCTCAATGTTGTCCAGGTGAGGGGGGGTTGGGGTTTAAGGTTGGGGTGGGGGTGTGGCTTAGCCTTTTGCTCTTTCCGTGGGGCAGCTGCCTGCGTCTGCTGGTTCTATGGTTTATCGGCGTAGAATAGGGTCTGTAAGGTGTTTTAGGGTCTAGGGTGTACGGTCTCCGTAGGTCCTGTGTTTGCTGCTCGCCCTCCCGGATGTTGGCGCGCGCTTTAGCCCCACAGATTACTTCGTTTTGTCTGTAGCGGCTTTAGGCCACGACTTGGGGCATCCAGGATTTAATAACCTCTTCATGCAGCGCAACCAGACGTCCGTCGAGGGTTTATGCTTTACGGTTCAGTAGAGTTTATGCTTTAGGCAGGGGTTTGCTGTACACAACTCCAGCTGCGTCGTCGTCACCTGCGTCGTCGTCCTGGAGCACCCGCGGAGTCCTTCATTGATGGCGAGACGCTGTAGGATTTAGGGGCTTCGATGGTCAACGGTCATTTCTAGTGTATGAGGCTCTATCAAGGTTTGCTAAGGTTTACGGCTCATTGTTTGTGTTCAGCTGGGTTGCAAGGATCTACAGCAACACGTCAATTCTGGAAAACTACCATGCGGCGTCTTTGCTGCAGATCCTCCGGTATTCCTAAGCCCTAAGCCCTAAACCCTTCGATTTTCTATAGCCTTCGATCCCTATTCCTAGACCCTCACACCCACCTCTGGCAAAACAGTCTTGGGTTTAAGATTCAAGGTTTACGCCTAGGGTTCGTCGCCGTTAGGCTGTTTGAAGCTGCATTGGGCTTGGCGTTGCAGCGGGGTTTTGAACTGAATAACCGTTCGTTCCACCGCGCTACAGGGAGGAGGGTTTTGGGTTTAGGCTTTGGGCGTTTTAGGGTGCCTCATATGGATTTATTTTCGACTGTTTCGGATACGGAGCTAAAAACGATCCGCCAACGGCTAATAAATGCAATTATGTGGACTGACATGGCAAAGCACTTCGACATGGTGGCGAAACTTGACGGAAAAATACAGGCAAACCATCCTGCTGCTGGTTTTGCTGCTGTTGCTGCTGCTGTTTCTGCTGTTGTTGCTGCTGTTTCTGCTGTTGCTGATGGTGATGAAGCTGGCTTTACTGCTGGTGCAGCTGAGTCAAAATGGAAAAGCACTTCGATTCGGTCGTATGCGACTTGGCACTATAGGCGGATGCTCCCGCTTCTTCTTCTGTTGCTGCTCCTGCTGCTCGTGCTTCTGGTAGTGGAGTTCCTGTTCCCGCCGTTGCTGCTGCTGGTGGTGTAGGGGGAAATGGTGTTATCTGAAGGGATAATGTGTACTCTCCAAAAGCCGTACTTGGAGGGTTTGCTGCTCCACTCAGCCGACATTTCTAATCCTCTGCTAAACTTCGACATGTGCAGAGATTGGGCGATTAGAGCTTGCGACGAATTCTACAACCAGGCAAACCATAAACCCTAAGCCCTAGAATCGTGAACGTCGAAACGCAGACACCCCAGAAACCCGAGCAGAAACCCCCAAACCCTTACCCCTGAGGGTCTCGGGCACCAACTACATGCCTGCACGATCTTCGCTCGAGTTCCGAATTCTGCATCCCAGCTCCAAACCCTAAATCGTAACCTCAAACCATATACCCTAAACCGTCAATATGCGTCTTCAGAATAAACTCGAAGAGGCCCTCGGACAGCCGCCCTTCAACCCCGCTTTGCAGAGCTTCGACGAATTCTGCGTAGCCAAATCTCAAATTGGCTTTATCGGTAAAGCATAATCCCTCAACCCTGGGCTACCGAACTGTAAACCCTAGACCCTAATGTATTCTTGTTTTTTCGTAAACCCTAGACCCTAAGCATCGAACCTAAACACCAAACTCATCATCGCGTTATGTAGACTCCATTGGCCAATCTCAACCGCCACGCCCTAAACGAAGAGCAACACGCTCGAATCCTAAACCCTAAAACATAAAACCTACTAACCCCTTTCCTTTTATATTTGCAGATTTCATATGCAAACCCCTTTTCAACAACTTGGCGCTGATGTTTCCCGCCCAGCTGGGAGAGCGCGCTGCTCAAATGCGCAAAAACAGGTAAACCCTAAGCCCCGAGGACTTATGGGCGAAACCCTATACGTACTAGTTTAAATCTTAACAGCTAAATGTAACTCTCTGTCTCGAAGCCACCCATGGTGCTCTGATGGCACAAATGCTCTCCAAACCCTAAACCTGTGAGCTTTTATACTCTGCAGGCAACGGTGGAAGCATCTCGCCGACCGCAACCTCCCCCCGAAGGACACTCCTCGCTGAAACGAAAAACGTAGACCGAAGTATTTTCGAACGCTAAACCCTAAATCCCGAACCCAATGCAGATTGTACGAAATAACTGCACACAAATGGTGCTCTCCCTGTCTGCCGTCCAAGCAGCAGCAGCTGTAGCAGTAGATGCTTCTGCAGCTGTGGCTGCTGCTGCTGCAACGGCTGTCCGCTGCTACAGTATATTTTAACGGCTGGTTGTGTTTTTGCATTGAAGCCACCGCAGCAGTGGCTGCTGATGCTGCAGTGGCTGCTGCTGCTGCAGTGGCTGCTGCTGCTGCAGTGGCTACTGCTGCTGCCGTGGCTGCTGCTGCTGCCGTGGCTGCTGCTGCTGCGCACACTCTCCCCAAGAGACTCTCTCAGTGAGGCAGCAGCTGCGGCAGCTGTCTTCCCGCTTAAGAATACAGGTGCAGCAGCTCATCCTGTTATTGCTGCTGCTACGGCTGCTTCTGATCCTCTTCGTTTGTCCGGTGCTCTGGCAGTTGCTGATCCTGTTGACCTTCCTGCTGCTCGAGGCAATCTTGCTGCTGATGCTGTTTTCCTTTTTCCTGTTTTTGCTGCTGTTGTTGCTGCCTCTTGCTTTGCCTCTGTTGCTGCGCTTCTGCTTGCTGCAGCTCCAGCTGCTGCAGCAGCTGCTGCAGCTCCTCGTTGCTGCTGTCCAAGGCCAATCCCTGCTGCACCTGCTGCTGCTGCAGCTGCAGCACATTGTGCTGCTGTTGCTGATGCTTCACATGAGCAACCTCTCGCACGTACCGCTTCAATGTGGAACTGTAGCCAAAGTGGCACACACAATCATAAACCCTGAACACGAAACCCTAAACACTAGGCCTTCATTGCGGCATGCACACTGACAACGAGCTCAAAAGGTTTATTATTTAGGATTTAGCACAGGTGCAGGTGGTGTTTAGTGCTGTTGTGAAAGCGATACAAAGGGGGTTGTACCACCACCTTAATTTCGCAGGGGTAGCTAGGGTACAGGGCGTAGGGTTTACGCTGGTTGAGTTGCAATAGGAAGCGGCAGCCGCCAAATCAACTGAAGATTTCTAGCCAGCTGCAGAATCGCTCGGGGGCCCAACAAGCAGCTGCTGCTCTCATAGCAGCAGCTGCTGTTTCTGGTGCTGTTGCTGCTATTGCTGCTGCTGCTGATGGTAGCGTTGGTGCTGATGGTGTTGCTGTTGCTGCTGTTGCTGTTGGGGTCCGACGACGTCTGTTCAATGCTGTTGCTGCTAGCACCAACCACCTTCTCGTTTTGCTGTTGCTGCTGCTTCTGTTGCTTTTGTTGTTGCTGCTGTTGCTGCATTGGGCGCTGTCGCCAGGGCTGCAGGCATAGAGGCTGCCGCAGATTCAGAGCGTAGCCACCGGCCTCCACACCTTCTCCTACAGCAGCAGCAGCAATAACAGCAGTGGCATCGGCCACACCAGTAACAGTGGCAGCAGCTGTAGCAACGGGGGCCGCTGCATCAGTTACTGTCAGTTCTGCCCATGTCTTTCGCAGCAAAACATTCGAGTTTAGGGTTTAGGGTTTACCGGCGTTGGCTTCCTCCCGCTGTTGCAGCAGTTGCTGCTCTGCTGCGCTGCAAAACGCCGAAGCAGCAAAAACCTTCCGAGACGAAAAATTGGTGAAGATCCAACTGCCGCTTGCCTGCATGCAAACCCATAACCCTAAACCCTACACCCTCAGGCGTAAATGAAACAGGTGTAAAAATGTCTAAACCATCTGTTCGAAAAGAAGTCACTGGCCATAACACAAGCACTAGGGTTTGCAGACTTCGACAGGGGGGTTTATGGTTTAGGGTTTATGGTTCAGGGTTTTGGGTGTACGGGCTGATAGTGAATCGCTGCATGAAGTCGGGAGACGCTGCGGCACTGCCGCGGCAGGAGCAGCTTCGAGACACAGCCTGCCGCCGCTGCTGCTGCTTCAGGAGACACTGATGTTGCTATTTCTGCTGCCACTGCTGTTACCGTCCCTGCTGCTGCTGCTGCTAGCTCTGCTTGGACTTCGGTGTTACAAGTTTCACTACGGTTGCTGCTGCTGTTGTTGTCGGTGCTGCTGCTGCTGCCGCGGCGGCAGGTTCGGCGAGCAGCAACAAAAGCTGCAAGATCTGAAGCAGTCCCTGGCTGCAGCAGCAGCAACAACAAGCAGAGCCCTCCCGTACAGAAAGGCAAAACCGGGGCAACACGGCAGCAGCAGCAGCAAAACAGCAGCAACGGCGACAGCCAGCAGCAAAGTAGCAGCAGTTGCAGCAGTAACACGAGCAAATCCAACAACAGCAAACGCTGCAGCAGCAAATAACCACGGCAGGAGAATAAGCGATGCAAGCAAATGCACCACCAGCAAAACACAAACTGCAGGAGCAGCAGCAACGCCGACACAAGCAACAACAGCACAAGCGGCCCAAGCTGCACCTTCATGAGCAGATAAACCACCAGCAGCAACAACGTACAACGATCATGCAAGTATCACGGGCCCCTCGGCCAATTAGGAGTAAGGGAGTTCTAAGTAAAAGCGGTTGATTGTCTTCCGGTTTCTGCTGCTGATCCTTCTGGTGCTGCTGCTGCTGCTGCTCGGAGTGCACCGAGAGAGCAGCAAATCCGAAGTTACTCGGAAGTGCAGCGGGCGGAACAGAGGCAACCCATAAACCACTGCAGCTGCAGCGGCTGCAGCAGTTGCTGCTGGTGGTGATACTGTTGCTGCCGCTGCGCCGGTTTTCGCCTTCGGAATTCTGGCAGTCCTGCTGTATACTTCGCTGCTGTTGCAGTGTTGGAAGCAGCAAAGGCTGCAGCAGCAGCGCTGGGGACGCTGCAGCAAGAGCAGGCGGCTGCAAGAATCGGATGCCTTTTAGACATCTGAGCTGCTGCTGCAGCTCTGAGACGGCCACCAGCGGCTGCTTTTGGTGCTGCTGTAATTGCTGCTGTTGCTGCTCCTGGTCCCCAGTAGTACGTTGTTTCTTCACTTTGTTGGCACATCCATCGCCAGATGTTTGCTGCTTCCTCTTTTGCTGCTGCTCGTGCTGTTCTTTCTTTGGCTTACAGAGCTTCTTCGAAGGCGCTCCTGCCCCAGTTTGGTCGCGCTCCTGCGGTTGCTGCTTTCTTTTGCGGTGCTGCTGAGCCTTATCCTTCTTTTCTTTTTTTTGCTTCTGCTGTTGCTTGGTCTGCTTGTCCCCTTTTTGCCGCTGCGCCTTCCTCTGTTGCTGCTTATCTTCTAGTGCCGTACTGCTTTTCACTTGCTGCTGCTCTTTCCCCTGCTTCCGCTGGTGCTGCTGCTGTTTCTGCTGTTTCAAATGTTGCTTGTGCTGCCGCTGCTGCTGCTTCTGCTGCTGCTGCTTTTTGCACTGCTTCGGTTGCTGCTCCTGCTTCGCAACGTCCAGCAGAACTTTCTCTTCCTGCTGCGACTTTGGCCGTTTCTGCTGCTGCTGCTCACCAGACTGTTGCCTCGCCCGTTTCTTTTTCATCTGTTGCTTGTGCTTTTGTTGCTTCTCCCTTTTCTTCTTTGGAACGCAGACACAGCCCCAAGACACGTTGTTTTCAACGTTCATTTTGCTGCTGCTGCGGTTGCTGCTGCAGGGCAGGGCCCGGGGTCAGGTCGTCTCCCTGACGAGAAGACTGGAGGCAGCAAAAAGCTGCTGCTGCTGTTCTTCCTGCTGCTGCTACTGTTTGTTTCATGACGCCTGCAGTGCTGCTGCTGCTGGTGGTGGCGCTGCTGCGCCTACTGCAGCGGCGGCGGCAGCAGCAGCAGCAGCAGCAGCAGCTCCACTCCTGCCACCCGTACAGCTACTGCTGCGCTGCAGCTTCCTCCAAATCATTTTTAAAGATGTGAAGCTGCGTTTGCGCTGCTGCTGCTGCCTCCGTTGCTGCTGGGAGCGCCGCCGATGCTGTCGTGCATGCAACAGGGGCTGCCGCACAAGCAGCAGCAGCACCCCTGCAGCACAGTAATCTTCTTAGTAGAAAGGGACTTCTTCTTCGTTTTTTTTCTGTTTCGACGTTGTGCTGCAACAGGTTCGTCAGCCGCCGCGCAACGGCCTCAGTTGTTGCTGAGACCTGCGGACGAGCAGCAGCAGCAGCAACAGCAGCAGCAACAAAAAAGCAGCAGAAGCCGCAGACGGCGCTGTGGGGTGCAGCGGTACAAAAGCGCATGCTAAAGCAACACATTGAAACGCGTTCCTGTTTGTGTAGACTGTAGCAGCAGCAGCAGCAGACAGCTGCTGCTGCTGCCTCAGCAGCTGCAATAGTAGTTGTTGTTGTCGTAGTAGTAGTATTAGTTGAAGTACTAGTACTAGTACTAGTAGTAGCACTACCGCCGCAAGAAAAGGGCACCTACAGAGTATCCACCTGCGACAGAAGGTGCTGCTTCGGTAGGCTGGTGAAGGTTGATGATGCAGCCGTGTACAGCAGCAGCAGCCTCTGCAGCAGCAGCAGCAGCAGCAGCATCTGCTGCTGCAGTTGCTGTTGGAAACAGACGACTCCTTCTTTCATGGACACAGCAGCAACATCCGCTGCTCCCGTCGCCAAGTCTCGCAAGGAGCTCCGCCAACAGCAGCAAGAGTAGCGTATACTCGGTCCTCTTGGTTGCAAGCAGCAACAGCAGGTGTGTAGGCACGAGCTTCAACAACGCCAATGCGCTATTCCCGTTTACATCTGCGTGCTGCAGTGCATTTAGTGTAGGCTGCTGCAGCAACAGCAACAAATCCTTCGGGGCATTTCGGTTTTTTTCTTCTCGTCGACGTTCAAAGAAGCAGCAGCAGCAGCAGCAAGATGTTGTTTCTCCTTCCTCGGAATTTGAAGAGGAGACAGTGAATTGGACAGCAGGGTCAACGGGAGCAGCAGCACCGGCGGCGGCAGCAGCAGCAGCAGCAGATTCAGTGCAAGGGCCAGAATTAGGTCGTGTGGGGCGTGTGGTGCGAAGGCAGCGGCGGCGGCGGCAGCAGCAGCAACAAGTACGGGATGATGCTGCTGCTAACCCTCCTCCTGCACCAGCACCTGCACCAGCAACAACTGCACCATCAGCATCAGCAGGAGCAGCAGGAGGTCCTTGGGGTGGGGATGAGGGTTCATTTGCTGCTGTTGTTTCTTCTCCATCCCCTCCCACTCTTCCTTCCTTGCCTGCAATTGGGCTAATTCGGCGGCCGGCGTTTCCTGGGTTTTATCAGCTGCTGCAAATCCCAGACCAGGAGGTTAGGGTTTAGGGTTCCGGGTTGAGGGCTTGGGAGGTTTACGGTTTACGATTTAGAGTTGGGGTGTTGTGGGCTAGGGCACAGTAAAGTTGGCTTAGGGCGTATGATAAGGCCGGTTGGCTCCAAGGGTTAAGGCTTTAGGGTTTAGGGTTTGTTTGCAGTTGTTTGAGGAGCTCGTGCGCTTAAAGACAAGCGGGGGTTGGCGGGATTTTGTTGGCGGGTTTTTGCTGCGTAAAGAAGCCGACGTAGAAGAAGACATGGGGCCTGGAGCCAGGTTGAGAGAGGATGCGGGTAAGGGTCTAGAGTTTAAGCTTTAGGGTTTGGGAGCAAGGGACCCAACAGAGCCGCCGGCGAGGGTTCAATCTAGTATTTTTGCGTGTACAGTCCAGAGCAAGCCTTGATAACACTTAGAGTTTGGGGTTTAGGTCTTGGGCTTTAGCAGTTATGGTTTCTTTTTTAGGGAGTGTTTCGGCTGTCGAGGAGATACATCCCGTAGGGTGTCTGCTCCACCTGCTTACTCTCGCACCGCATCCAACGCAAGGAGGTGGCCAGGCAATTGTAATGCCATATCGACGGTAAACCCTAAACCCTAAGCCCAGCTCTCTCTCTTTTTCCACTTGGCGGTGAGTGCCAAGTGGCACTCATCGCGAAGTGGAACAACACAGACTAGGGTTTAGGGTTTAGGATTTACGGCAATGTGTCTGTGGGTTTGCAGCATAAAGTTGTTGGGTCCTTCTCAATCACCAGAAGAAGCTGCAGCAGCAGCAGCAGTAGCAGGAGAAGAGACCGCAGCAGGAAGCGCAGATGCAACGGCTACATCAGTTCCAGCAGACACTGCTGCTTCTGTCGCTCCGGCCGATGCGGGGGAGACACCAACAGCAACAACAGCAGCAGTAACTCCTGGCGAGGTCGGTGCTGCTGCTGCTGTAGTCCATGAACTGCAGCAACTCCACCAGCAACAACAACCCAACCAGCAACAGCAACCACAGCAACCAGAGAAGCAGCAGCAGCAGCAGCCACAACAGGAACAACAGCAGCAGCAACACCAGCCACAGAAGCAGCAGCACCAAGAGCCGCAGGATGCACGGGGGCAGTCAAAGGGCGAGCATCAGCAGCACCAAGAGCAGCAGCAGCAGAATCCAGGCGAGCAGACACCAGCAGGAGAAGAGAACCAGACAAAGCAGAAGCAGCAACAGCAGCAGCAGCAGGCGGCTGCAGGCGAGTCTGATGGTTCTGCCTTCGGCGGCTTGCTCCCTTTGCCTCCCTCCAGCGCAAGCAGCAGCAGCAGCAGCAGCAAACGCGGTGCGCTGTTGTATGTCTCAGTAGCCTTCCCTCGGGAGACATCCGCGGGGTCCCTCAGCAGCAGCAGCACCTATGCGGGAAACGGTGTTGTGAAAATGCTGCATATGGAGATCTTGGCCACCATGAAAGAGTTGCTTAAAACTTCCTACTTTTACAAAGAACACTTTGATCAAGTAACTCCAGGGTTTAGGGTTTAGGGTTGAGTACTGGTTGATGCTGAGGTCAGCGCCTCCCCTGCTTTTTAGTGATGGCTGCAGCGTGTGGTGGGAGGGTTTGTTATTGTTGGGCTTTAGGGTCCGGGGTCCGGGGTGCAGGTGATACGATTTTACAACATTGACTACCCACAAAAGTTGGCCGATTTGGTCGCTGGGATTTCCTTTGCGCGTCGAGATGAACTGCAGGCTGTGCTCGCTGTAAGTCCTAAACCCTAAACCCTTAGGGTTCTCTGGTAGAAGGGGAGCTGCAGCGAGAAACTCGAAGCGCTGCCTGCTGTGAGCCAGCGGTTTGAGGGTTTGATTTAGTGTTTGGGATGTGCAGGAAGAAGACATCGAAAAGCGGCTGATGCTCGTTTTACAAATCGCGAAGAAGGACTTGGAATTTGCAAAGCTTCAGGTGACGCGAGGCGCCAAACCCTCAACCCTCAGTTGCTCACCATCCGTTTCGAACTGTAAACCAGGGAAAAAGCGGCTTGAGGACTTAAAAGCAGCCACATAGGGTATAGGTTCTAGGATTTAGTTCATGCACGTTCCAGAGGGCTCTGATTTTGTAACGAATGATGCTGTTTAGGGTTTATGGTTTAGGGCCAAGGGCTTACGGTGTGCCATGCAGGTCAACGTTAAGGCGCAAGTTGAGGATAAGGTCATGAAGGTGCAGCGGAAGTTTTTGCTGCAGGAGCAGCTAAAGCTTATTAAGAAAGAATTGGGCCTAAACAAAGATGACAAGGAATCCATCATCGACGTAAACTCTAAACGCTAAACCCTATTTATGGAGTTTGCGCCCCACCAGCTTCTATATCCCAGTTCGATCGAGGGGTTTAAGGTTTAGGGTGTACGGTTTAGGCTTTGAAATTTCTCTCTGCAGCAATTTCGGGAAATTCTCGCCAAGAAGGAAGCGTTTATGAACGAAGAAGTCCAGAAGGCAAGCAAAGCCTCAACCCTAAACCCTAGAAGCCGCACAGTAGGACCTGCTGGAGCCAAACACCTTGCGGCTAAGCTGTGACCCTAAACACTACACCAGACACCCCTTTCCTTATCCACGTCACTACACCGTAAACCCTAAACTGCCGTTGCTCAGCAATATCCAGCGTTTTGGGCGCGAAACGCCAAACCCTAGACCCCAACCCCCAATACCAAAGCCCTGAACGCTATTGTATTGTCTTGTGGTTCAGGCAGTTGCAACTGAAATCAACAAACTTTCCTCTCTTGATCAGTCGTCATCCGAGTTCCATGTTAGCAGAACGTACCTCGAAAACTTGCTAAAGCTCCCCTGGGGAGAATACTCCACAGATTGTACAGGTAAGCCATACACCATAAATCCTAGTGTCTTCAACGCGGGCTCGGCAGGGGAGAAGACACACCTAACACAAATTGGACGAAGCTGGACTATTAGGTACATAGGACTTAGGTTTAGGGTTTAGGGTGGATAGTTTGAGGTATATGATTTAGGGTGTTGGGGTGAGTTGTGAACAGATATTGATGAAGCTGCGAGGGTTTTGAATGCCGACCATTTTGGCTTGGAGGATGTCAAGAAGAGAATCCTTGAGTTCATAGCCGTTAATATTCTTAAGAAAGACTCGCAGGTAAACACAAAACATCAAACCCTAAACTGCTAACCTGAACACTCGCCCAGTTGCCTCCGAATTTTGGGTTTACGATTGAGGGTTTAGCCTTTTGGGTTGTGGGTTTATACGTCCTGTAGGGTCTGCAGTTGGGTCGTCCAAATGGCATTTCGCGCCACGCACAACTAGCCACATCCTTTTATGGTTTACGTTTTAGGGTTTGTCGCTGCGCAGGGGAAGATCCTCTGTTTCCTGGGCCCCCCCGGGGTTGGAAAGACTTCTGTTGCAGAGAGCATCGCGCGTGCGCTCAAGAGGAAATATTATCGGATATCTCTGGGTAGGCCTTAAACCCCATTAGCTTCTTCGAACTCCCTGAGCTCTTCTCTGAATATGCCTAAACGACGGTCTTACGTGTAGATTTTACTATAAGGGTGTATTTTTCGCTCTAGCTATGTCTCTAAGATTGGGTTTGGAATTTAGTATGTAGGGTGAAGGACTTGTGTTTAGGATGCAGAGTGTAGGGAGCGCGCCTGGGAGCTACTATAAAATTTAGAGTTCGTGCGTATGGCTTTGGCCCAGTGTTTCTTAGGGCTTAGTGGTTAGGGCTTACGGTTTAGGCCTTGACTTTATGGGTTAGGCTCTAGTGTAAGCGCTTAGAGTTATAGGTTTGAATGCAGGGGGGTTGTTTGACGTGGCGGAGCTCCGAGGACACCGACGGACATACATCGGAGCTCTGCCCGGGAAGATCGTGACAGCGCTGAAGTTGACAGGGACGATGAACCCTCTGATTGTGCTGGATGAGATCGACAAACTTGTAAATCCTGAGCCCTAAACCCTTTGGCGGTCTGGGTCCAAGCCGCGAGACGGCCGATTGGTTTTGGCAGGGCGTGGGAACACCAGTTTATCTCCTGCTACGTTTTACAGTTGAAGGTTTAGGGTTGGATTGTTGCTGCGTCGCTAACGTGCCCTAGGATTTAGGGTTTACGGTTTAGGGTTTAGGGGTGTGTGCGTGCAGGGTCGAGATTTTCGGGGGGATCCTTCCTCTGCTCTTTTGGAGGTTTTGGACCCTTCCCAGAATTCCTTTTTTAGGGATCATTACATTGATGTGCCTCTTGACCTTTCGAGGGTGTTGTTTGTCTGTACAGCCAATGCTCAAGACACCATTCCAGGTGCAAACACAAAACACTACGCCCTAGAACCTACAGCAATACTAATGCTTTTTAACCAATGTCATAGCGGGCGGAATTCTCAGGCAGAGCATGCCTGCTCGATGATGCGCGAAACATACAAACCAGGGTTTGGTGTCTACTATTTAGGGTTTAGGGTTTGGCGTTTTTTGGCAGGGCCACTGCTGGACCGGATGGAGCTCATCCGCATAGCCGGTTATATTCAAGAGGAGAAGGTTGCGATCGCGCAGCAGTACCTCATCCCCAAAACCGCAGAAGCAACAGGTAAACCCTAAACTAATGGCACCCATGTGGGAAGCTATATGGCGGAGTCTCCGATCTTGTGGGGTCTGGCTTTTTGCATGCTGAAAATATGGTTCTGGGTCGTAGGGTGTCAGGCTTAGCGCTTAGAGTTCAGGGTTGAGAGTTTCGGAGTTTTGTGTATAGGGTTGCAAGGGTCTCGGGTGTCCATACAGCCCGCAGCACTGGAGGTCTTAGTTCGCGATTATGCAAGAGAAGCAGGCGTCCGCTCTCTGTCCAAGTGCATAGAGAAACTCTTCCGAAGGGCCGCCCTTTCTATAGTCAAGTAAACCTTACATCCTAGTTCTAGATCATCGTCTCCGTCTCAGACCCCTTCTCTAAGCAAAACCCGAAATTCCTTAACCCTAAACGATAAACTCTGAATCGCTGTGTCGGGGACTGCAACGTCACGACGGTACCAGGGCACATCCGTTTACTGTCTCTGCAACTTGAAACTTAAGATTTAGGGTTTAGGGTTTAGAGTTTGCGGGGCAGGAAGGAAGCGGAGGAGGTGGTGGTCACAGAAGAAAATTTAACAACCTTTGTAGATCAACCTCCCTGGTCGTCAACAAGGCTCTTTGAAAAGACGCAGCCGGGTAACGCAAAAGCCTAAACCCTAATCATGAGCTTTAACACACTCGGTGCTGAGACGTCTGTAAACTCCACTAACCGGACCTTTGCGAGGTATCCGGAGGTTCAGGGTTTAGCGTTTGGGGACCCTAAACCCTAAAACCTAATCACGAGCGGCTAGGTGCATATATATATATATTATATAT